TTCAAACATTGCAGCGTCAGAGAAAAAAGTTTTAGTTTTGACCTATTATTTTTCAAACATCAGAGAAAAAAGGTTTTAGTTTTGCCCATTCCAATAACCAAACTCACTCATAATTGTACAACCGTTCACCGCTCTCAACCTTCGTCGGTATTCAGGAAAAGCTCCATTAGCGGAACTGCGTTGCATTAGTTTTATTTTCAGAATGTTTTCGTGCCGATGCCTGGGATAAAGCTCGGAAGTTTTGTGGGGAAAGGCTCTATTATCGCGGTCACGTGATCGCCTTGACGGCCTCTATCTGAGACGCCAGGTGCTATCTTTGGCTTTGCTGGTTTCTATTAAGCTTTCTAAGCTTTCGCGCCTTCGTTAACGCGTATTTTGTTTCTCTGATGATAGTAAAATTTTAAAAATTTGCTTAGTTTGGGACTAGAAGCGCAGTGTAAAATGTCTAAGGATATTTATTTATTTATTTATCTTTGTTTTTCTTCCAAAATCTACGATCATAACTGTTACATTAATACAATGTGATACTCAATAAACATAGATTGTGAGATTGGCGATATCTATACTATTATTGTAACAAGGAAAACATAGTTTGTTATTGTATTAAAATAACAGATATTTTGGAGAATATTATTAGCACAAAGGTACCGAGCTATCCGGAATATTTATCCTGGGATTAGCCAGTCTCTTCGGTAAATAAACTACAAAAAAAGAACTGAGGAAAGAATACTATTTTTACAAGTAATTAATTCAAGGAAAAGTATTTTTAGATGGCCTTTTGTGTGTAGATGTTTATGGAAAGTAATGAATGTAAGAAAATATTAAAGAAGTATTATTTTTATACAGTGTGAAATTGAAAGGGTGGATTTGTCTCATATTTTGAGAATGTACTATGAAGAGGTATTATGTATTGTGTAGAATCTTATTTTAAAAGGATGCCAAAGAATTAAAATTCACTCTGTATAAAGAGTTAAATGACCTTATGGGTAATCTGATAGTCAGAAGACACCCATTGTCATTAGTAAAACCAGAATAGTGGCTATCTTATTTTTGTGACTTTATTCTTTTTCCCCTCAGTATAATCGTACTCAGAACTTCGACAATAGCCGTTCTCGCTAAAAGGCTTATTAAATTCCTCAGAAAGGCAAAGCTTAGCAGACTAAGCTTGAATCCGACTATTAAGTTGATGTATATTTTATTAATCGCTTAGATAGAATCGACGTCACTTCTATTGAAAGCGTTGTCATAATTTCAAAGAACTGATGAAGCAATTTAATTGAATAATGAAAGTATTGATTTTCCACGCAATAATGTTGAGTGAGTTTTTGTCACACATGCAATCACATTACAAGCTGTTATTGTTCTAAAAAAATAATTATTTTAATATAAAGTCAGCATGAACATAATAATAGAGAGACATCTGAAGGAAGATACAATTCTAAACCAATTTCTTGTGATCACAAATGTTTGGGTCCAGTACAAGTAGGTACCACGTAAAATACTCGTAACTAAATAAAGATGTTTTTCCAATCCATTTCCGTACGCAAAAATATTCCCCCACCTTTATTGACCTACTTACTAGATACTACTGTCATCAAGGTCTAAATAGATACATAAAAGGGACTGTAAAGAGCTTTGTCCGAACATTAAAGATAAGAACCGAGCATCAAGGTCAAAGATCTTAAGATTTATTCCTTCGCAAAAAGCCGGTAGGAGAAAACCTCTTCAACTAATGGAGGTGCGGCTCTTAAATAAGTCTAAATAAATCCCATCAGGATCTAAAGCTTTATTATCTGGGATCTCGGGGAAACAGGTTGAAACTTTAAATTCTCACCTAATCTCGGGGTATCCTCTTTTTTGTGTTTTAATAAAATAACTCAGCCCGAAACAGAGGGGTAACAAAAGCTATGAAAAGTCGCCGTGCCGTCGGGCAATCTCGATAAAAACTGGTGCGCTCGTAAACTTGACCCGCCCTTATCCACGGAATCAACACGGAAAGTTCGAGAAAGTCCGAAGGAGAGGATGATTTACGTTCGTACGCTGACAGTAAAAATGTGGGCTAGTTTGAGAATTAAAATTTTACTGCGACTCCGAGGGCATCTCAAGATGGCCTATCGGTACAAGCGGCTTTATGACCTTTATTCCCTTTGTTGTATGGTTTTTATTCCCATTGACGTGAATTATACGGCCCCATAAAATGATTTGTTCCGTGAGTTGATTTGGGTAATACAAGCCCACGACAATGGTGAAATCATATTTTTAGATCCAACACTGTTATTGTTGTTGTTTCCATAATTATATCGGACAGTTAATCTGATAACAGAAGCAAAAATTGGCCCGTAACCTTTTCCAATACCTATTATAAAACAAACCTGAAAATACGAAAAATGTAAACGATGAACTTTACAAAACCTCTATTCACTGCCAAACGAATGCGTTTCATTCAAACCTTTTATTTCAAACATTCAATCCGCGCATTTCATTCAGACAGATGCGGGTGTTTTCATTAAAAAAATACCTTTTTCCAGGTAATGAAGCTAAAGTCACGTACAATAAGTAGATAATATCATCACGCTCAGAATGCCCAAAGTGGTCGGCCAGTAAATATTTAATTTTCTGCCTAACAATTCATGTTGGGCTACACAAAACCTCAACCGTTATTATGTTCGCCCACATTTTTAAGTGAACGACCGCAAGTTTAGACGAAAGCACATCAAGTTATATATATTTGTTGCAAAATAAACTCTATCACAACTACATAGATACCACTGTTTTTAGCTTGATCTGCTATCGTCCGTGCCTTTTACCTGTGAAATTCGTATCATTCCTTTTGTGGTTTAAATTCCACTTTATTTTGTAGCTATTTTTCCATTTTGACTTTAATCGATGTTTTTGTTTTGTTTAAAACTGGTCATATTTTTTTATTTCTGCCATTTATTTCCATATTGTCATCTTCAGTGCCGAACTGATATTAAAAAAATACATTGTTTGTTGGGTTTCATGGGTAGTAGTAAATTTGTAGATTTTTTCTTTAGTGAAGTATTGTTTTTATAGACTACCATATCAAAAAGGAAAAACTTATAATCACTTCTTTTTTGTCTGTCTGTCTCACAAGTTCAAGTTTTAATATTATTAGTTTGTTCGTTTCAGCCAAATGACGTCCACTGCTGGACAAAGACCCAAGAATTTCCATAACGACCGGACCTGCCTTGCCCGAATCCAGGCACTTTCCGCGACCTTCACCAGATCGTCGCTCTACGTAGAGAAGTTTATATACATACTTGTATAGCATGTTGATGGTTAGATACCTGGTTAATTTTTTATGATGTTACGTTCAAGTTCGGTCGGCAGATGCAACAGCATCCTGGCTTCTCCTATGTCGGAGAAGGCAAGAGCCTTTACTGTGTTTTTCTAGCTTTTTAGTCTCCCAATTTTAGACAATAAGACACAAATACATTGTACCTAAAATATTACCTAGATATATTGTACCTAAAGTTTGTATCTAATGGAGCGACATTGTCATCTTGACAAAGCTCCATCTCAAGCTCAAAATAAAGAGAAAAAAAAAAAGTACATATTATTAAAGCCTGCGTAGTAACTAAAACTAAAGTCCACTGTAGCTGCCAGGTATAATTCTAGCCTAAGTTTAATAAAACATAAACTACGAATTCCATGTCTTCAAAATTACGTAGTACCTAAGTGTGTAATTATCATAAACTAGTATGTTAATAAGTATAGCCTCAAGCCGCCTAAAAGTACAAATACATTGACGCCATAATCCTTAATTAAAACCCTAAAATGCCAGGGCTTTAAAAGGTATTTTAACGTCGCTAAATCGCGTGTAATTCTATTAACGCGTTTGCGGCACAATTTTTGGCCGACCAATACTCCAGTTGCGTAATTCTATAAACGTTTGTTATTTAATTTACCTGGGCTGGTTATTTCAAATCAAACAAGGGGAATTTCAATTTGGGAGAATGAATGGTGTATACAGAGAGTGCGGGTATTACGAAATGGTAAAATCTTTGAAGATACTAAATCAAGTGGTGACATTCAATTTTGTGCAATCAAACAAGATGGTGGTAAAGAGAAGGTTATATGTTTTGTATGAGTTTTATCTTTTGATTGCTGATAAGATTTTGACTCTGCCTCTAACAGAAAACTTTTGAGCTTCGAATTTGAATTGATTTTGATTGAATCTACGTTATTAAAATAATGAAAAAAGTTCGTATAATTCTCTTCAATAACCATATTGAGCCATTTTACGAGTATATGCATAAGGTGGCTCAAAGTCTAGTTATCAGGGCTAAAAAATAAAAATCAGAAGTTAGTGTATTATCACTTATGCTTTTTGAACGTACCTATAAGTTATCTTGACCATCACCTGGAATTGCGCCTCACTTCACACTTTTACCGCTGTTAAATCTTATGATACTCTCATAATAACATGCCATACCTACGAGATCACGTCTCCTACTTGAAAACTGAACTGCAGTAGTTAATTTTAAATTCCAAGTTGGTGTTTTAACTGAGACGACTCCGGAGGGTATAATGCGGTGCACTTAAACTCAGGAGTCTTGTTATTTCGGTTGACCACTGTTTTATGGGATATATTTTTTTATAACTAGTAAGCATTCCTTGTGATAGAATGGTCTTAACTAATGACTGACATTAGTCACGTGTCCAAACTGTGGAAGTTTAAAACTTAACGAGGCTTCTCATTAGAACGTGATACGCTGAGATATCAAAAAACTTATGGCTTCCAACTTAAGTAGGTAATGCTCTTTATCAAACAGCATACAAAATGACATTTATGACATTACCAATAACGTCGAGCACAATCATGTGATTCCTCTTTGGCGATACTTGGACTGCGTCGCAACTGCACGTCTCTGAGACGTAATGCCGAAGTGGACCTGCCATGATCGCTGAACGCATCCTTTCAGTGAAATTCTTTATCGCACACCACACAAAACAACATAATGTATAAAAAAGCTTACCAATAACGTCGAGCGCAATCCTGTAGTTCCTCGTCGGCGACACTTGGAAGTCGACGCGGCACCTATACGTCGCGCGGTCTCTGGACTGTACGTCTCTGAGACGTAACGCCGACGTGGGCGAGCCGATCCACTGGGCACGCTCACTGAACGCATCGTCCGTCCAGTGGGCAGTCGGCCCTGGGACTCGTGTGTCGTAACTGAAACAAGGGAGAGACAAGTTAAAGGATTTACATTAAATTTAAGGTAATGGACGATTTATGACAGTGGTCAGGCGGGTTAGGATAGGAAGGCCTGATACTCGCCTTTTGTCATCCATGGGAAGAGTGGAAGTGTGGGAGTAGCCTATTTGATTCTACCGAAACCATGCAGCATGTTCGAAACAAACTGAAAATAATATTTTTTTTACAATATAGCGTTAGGTAGCTCAGTGATAAAATTAATCTACTTCTAAAATACTATGTCATTGGAGGTCAAGCTGTAGATCCTGGCTATAACGGAGTTGCAATAGCGAAAGTGTGGCAGGACAAGTGGGTTACTTCTACAGCAGTTTTTTTTTTTGTTAACCCTAGAGTGCTCGCGCTATGAGCATTTTGCCGCCCTCGGCAAAAAAATCGAGTTATTTTCTACATGATGCGTTTGTCAAAGTCAAGCGTTTCAGTAGCTGCCTCCCCATACTTCACCTCCATGTATTAGAAATTAGAAGAAGTTTAGTGCGCAGGTGACCGCAATAGAGAACGATTGTTGAACGTATGTCACGTTTTGCGGCAAATTGCTCACTGCGCGACTACTGACGTAAGTAAAATTTGTGTGTTTGGTTTTTAGTGTTGTTGGAAGATTATTAGTTTTCATTGCGTATAATGTTGTTTTGACATTAATGACGTCATAACATTGATAATTACCATTAGTGCTTAATTTATTTCATGTCGTTTTCGGTAAAATTCACGTAAAATACAAAAAATGAAAAAACAAGGAAGATGTCGGATTTCGAAGAAGCTGGTGCACTAAAATTAGTAGAAAATGTATACTAAAGTTGTAAAGAAAGTAAACATAGTCATTACAATACTGTTATAGAACAATCAGCGGCAGAATCTGAAAATGATGTGCCAAGGGTGCAATAGTTGTGCAAATTTACTGTGCAACGCACATTAAATGCACATGTGACAGGCCTGTTTTGTTGAAGCACATGTCAAAGATGAAGAAAACCTTTAAGTGTGCTAATAAGTTTAATATTTGATGATGTATGATGGTAAAACAATGTTTTTTCTATGATTTCTATAAATATTTCCTAACATTTCCAAAATATGTTTTATTCTTTAAGTTTTAGCCACAAATCTTTAATGAACGTTATTTTCTAATAGTGTATGCTTTATTCTATCAGTTTTAACTGATTTTCATATTTTTAAACTGTTATTTGACACACAACCGGACTTGTAAGTTTGGGCGGCAAAATGCTCATACGCGAGCACTCACGTTTCACGGAAAGGCGCGACTACTCTAGGGTTAAAAAAGAAATAAACAAGAAATATTAACTCTACATTTTTTTAAACATTAAAAGGCAAATGGTTCTTCAATGATCTTTTCTAACGCCTCAAAGATTAGACCCTAAGACTAATTGGCGAAGATGTCTCATCACAAATCCAGCGCCTGATTGGAGCTCAACACTTGTTTGATCTAGGCTCGCACACAGGCCGAGTCAAACAGTACAGTCCACCGTTCAGCTTACAATCAATTCGTCTATTTACATTGTACTCGCTCAACTCTGTACGTCTGTATTGGCCGCTGTTCAGTGTTATGAGCTGGGTACAATCGAAGACAGAAGTTGTTTCATAAAACGTGTTTGAATACAACTGGCTTTTTTCTGTTTCGTGCTTCGACTCGCCTCGTGACGACGATGTTTGACGTGCGTATTTTGACTCTGTCACATGATTTCTGATTAACTCATGAATTAAAGAAAAAATAGACGCACGTTTTTATATTATGTTCCTGTAAATATTAGGAATAATACGAGGAATAGCTTTCAAATCAAATCAAATCAAATCATTTATTGCATTGCATTACATGTGGTTTGATAGTTGGTGAATGGTAGGGCAGCGCATCACATGCACCCTGCAAGGGCATAGCAAGCATTAAGAATACATTTTACAAAATAAAAGAAGAAGTTACAATTTTAGATCAGTAGTAACAATTTATAAGTAGCTTTTATAAGGGNAGGCGGTGCGCGGCCGCAGCCGCTCCACGCGCGCGCGCCCGGCGGTCCCCGCCACGCTGACCGCCGTCCACTCCTCGGCGCCGCCGCCGCGGGCCACTGCGTACATCACTACGTAGCCTGCGGGACAGAGTAGATGACATCACTAGTTAATTAAAATTAAATGTTTTGCCTTTTATCCGGCTCGAAGGACCATATTATTATATATGTATGTGTCTATGTATGTATTCATATGTTATTTATGTAATTATTTTTTTTTCTAAATTCGTATTAATTCTATACCGCCTACTTTATTCTCAGTTTGGCCCTAAGGTTGACTGGCAGAAAATGCCCAAAGGCATTAAGTCCGCCTTATGTACACCGTTCTATGTGCATATAAGTTTTAAATAAATAAATATTTTCAAGCAAAATAGTCATGTGTATGAAAGACGTTTGTTTCATATTATTAAAATAAAAAAGATAGACGTATTTTCATTTACATACACCAGAGTCCAGACTTATCATCAGGTGATCCGTCTGCTCGTTTACCTCTTGTCACATAAAAAAAAAGAAGACCGTATTTCCTGACCATATGGTCCTTCGAACCGATTAAATTTCAAATAGAGATAGGTCAATTTGTATTATAGTTCTTGCAACTCACGAAGACGAATGAGCTTTACATGTGTGGTGGCTTGAATTGAAATGTTTTTTTTTAAATAAGTGAAAAAATATTTTCTCATCTAGGACTCGCATCTATTCAGTTCACAACCATGAACCACAAGTCATATCTGTAACTATTATTAAGTTATTTATAATTTTCAAAATATCTGTGACTTGTTGTGGAGAGTTTACATTACTTGTGGAGCGACACCTACCAGTGATGATTCCGTTGGGGCGGGCGGGCGGCGCCCAGGCGAGCTCGACGGCGCGCGCGGGCGGCGCGGCGGGACTGCTTCTAGCGTCGTGTCGGACTAAACTAAAGTCTGTTCGCCGAGAGTTGATAAATATTAAGAAATGTCTTGCAACAGCGACAGTCGCTTAATTATCGCATTCTGTATGGCGGGCGTCGTTTGTCACAACGCGCACTGAGTACCATGCTACGAGCCACGCAGCTGTCGTCAAACGCCCGGGCCGACGGGCCGCAATGTGTGAAACGGAATAGATTTATTTTACATAAGACCGAAATGAATGGTATGACAGTGGGTAGGGCTTTGCCCAACATTGGGATACACTATAAGCCACTTGATAATAATTAAATACTTTTTATCCAACACATGGACGCCACGTGTTGGATCCCTATCCCCACGTATGCCCTAACCGGAAAAATTCCCGTAAATTTAAAAGAGATAATATTGATAATCTACCAACTTTTTCATTATATCGACAAAAATAATTAGCGGGCCGCAATTTATAATGAGTTTAGAACATCTGATATTTAATTTTTTTTATCAACTCTCGGCGAACAGACTTTATTTGAGGTGAAGAAGATACCGACCGGTGATGATTCCGTTGGGGCGGGCGGGCGGCGCCCAGGCGAGCTCGACGGCGCGCGCGGGCGGCGCGGCGGCCGACACGCGCAGGTCCCGCGGTGGAGACGACGGGACCGCTTCTAGTGTTGTGTTGGACACGATCATCGACCACTGCGACTCGCGCCCGCCTGTGGGGAAAATTGTAGAGTGTAAAGCCTGGTCCGTGAGTACGTAGAATTTTGTCCAATGACCCCAAGCTACGCATCCTTATCGCTCGCGCGTAATTATGTTGCTGTCGCGCTCGCACACTCACTGCGGGCGCGCGTCGCACAGTCGCGACAGCAATATAATTACGCGTAGGCTTTAGAGAGGTCTGGGAGATTTGGAAAGACTTGAAATATGCTAAATCTGTCCTCAGATAGTTCAGTGGATTCATGTTGATGCCAAAGAGGACATAGTGATTTAAATTGACTTAAACATCAGCACAGTTTTAAAACAAGCAGCATTCTTAAATAGACTGTCAGCTATGAAAGAAAGAAAGAAAGAAAGAAAGAAAAGTATTTATTCGATGCAAGTACAAAATAACTATGGAACCAAGACTATGATTAGAGAGGACGCTTCAATAATTATACAAAACTAGCTTTTGCCCGCGGCTTCACCCGCGTGAAATTTAGTGTCACAAATCGGCATAAATTATAGTCTACTAGCTTTCCGCCCGCGGCTTCACCCGCGTGGAATTTTGTCTGTCACAGAAAAACTTTATCTCGCGCGTCCCTGTTTCAAAAACCGGGATAAAAACTATCCTATGTTCTTTCCCGGGACTCAAACTATCTCTATGCCAAATTTCATCAAAATCGGTTGCGAGGTTTAAGCGGGAAAGCGTAACAGACAGACAGACAGACAGACAGACAGACAGAGTTACTTTCGCATTTATAATATTAGTTGGGATATGTTAATCTGGGTTACAAACAATAATACTGTAAATTTTCAACAAAATCCGTTCAGTACTTTTTGCGTAAAAGAGTAACAAACATCCAGACATCCAGACATCAAATAAATAAATAAATTATAGTAGGATAGTAGGATTCTTTGACTCGGTGAACATAAATAAAATAAATATCCAAAGGTTTCGCAGTTCACTTCTGCTGTCCCAGTTCGATTTTATCATTAGATTGAAAATGAGTATTTCTGGAGATTCATTTGAGTTATTGTATGTGTCAGGCAACTCACAAAACATGAGACTTCCAACTTATGTAATATTTTAACAACGTGAAAAATTATTCGTTGTCTTTGCACAAATTCGGTACACCAAAAATATGTCCGAATATTTAAAAGTGAATATTGTAATGGACAGTCGTAATTACAAAGAATAAAGTTTCACAAACATATTGACACACATTAGCCTCCTATTATTAAGGCAGTACAGTAGTACACATTTTATAAGGCGCGTCGTGAATCTTCGGCCACGCAGACAAGGACAAAAATTTTCCGATTATGTTCCCCGTCGCACTTGCGCAAGCCCCGCCCATTTCATATTTACACTGCAGGCCAATTCTAACGGAAGTACGGGGAATAAAATATTTATCTTTTTGCCAAAAAAGTTTAATAGAGTATTTAAATAAATAAATAGACTTCTTAAAAAACAAATTATAAATACACTTGCGGTACCCGTCGTTGTTCCCGAATTCCATAACACAAGTGCTTTTGCTACATACTTTGGGATCGATCGGAGCAATGTACACGTCTAATATGTATTTATTTATTTACTAGCTTTTGCCCGCGGTTTCACCCGCGTGAAATTTAGTTTGTCATAGATTGTCATAAATTATAGCCTATATGTTATTCTGGGTTATAAACAATAATACTATAAAGTTTCATCAAAATCCGTTCAGTAGTTTTTGCGTGAAAGAGTAACAAACATCCAGACATCCAAACATCCATACATATTATAATTGTAGCGAATTACGATAATGCACTTTATTTTATTTATCATAACATCTTTAATATACTGTACTCTACTAAATGGCAAATAAATATTTGAATTTCCGAATGTGAGAAGAGTGAATGCTGAATCTATGAATGAACTGTGAATGTGTAGATGTACGGAGATTGGAGGCTCACAAAAATATAACACTTTTTTGCCACTAAGTGTACTTTTGTCTGCAACACGTCTACGCACTCTAGAGTATGGCGGCTGACTAACATTTGTCACCGCGCGCGCAAACATGACACGCGGCGCGGACCAATACCGGCACAGGAAGAAGACGCGCCGTGCGTGGAGTATCCCGATTGGTCAATAGCATTTCCCGCGCTACTTAAATTCGTCTTCTGCGCAGGTACATCGGTGAGCCTTATTAATTGTGTACTACTGTACGAAGGTTTAAGAGCTCACCTTTGATGAGCTTGACGGCGAACTCGTAGTGCGTATTAGGCCGCAGGTCGTCGAGCATGCAGTTGAGGTCGGACGCGTTGTAGGTGCGCGCGCGGCCCGCGCCCGCGCCCGCCGCCGCCCAGCGGACCACGTAGCGGCGCCCGTCCGTCGCCGTCTGTGGGGGACGCAAGAGAACGTAAGCGGGGGTAATGTTATGTTAAGGATATGTTTCAAATTCTTTATTGCTCCAATGTTGGTATATAAAAGTTCTTACATATAGACATAGACCCAAAACATGGACCTATGGATTAAAGTGTCAAGTTAGTTTAGTTTAGTTGCAGGTCGTACCACAGAATAATAATAAGTACCTACTACGTACAAAAGTTTTACTTCGCGAAGGTATTTAAAAAAATGTATGCTCAATGTCATTAACAATATGGTGTAATTTAGCCTGTCTCAAGAGTCAAGCACCATTTTGTTGACAAACGTCAGAGATCGGCACTGCGCCGAAGCTATAGGGCTGACTTCGGTAAAATGATGTGACGTGAGGTGCCAAACTGCGGAAAATGGCGGAGGAAATACATGATTTAGCATGAATTATCATGAATAATATTAACTACTTATCATGAATAATATATTACTTACCTCTCAGTGTCTTGAGGCAACTTATAAAAATACATTCTATGTTTTTATTATTATTTAGGCAGTTAAATACTGCACAGTATTTAGTACACCGTTTTCTTTATTTTCTTCCATCATACACAAGAATACGCGTGCGTGAGTCAATGTTCGCTCGTATGTGAGGCCTTGTCGAATAGTATCCTATAGGTGGGCCATTGTGCGTGTTTTGTTTTCGATGTAAACTCGCGGAGATGAACAGGCCTGGTCGTACCATTGAAGTAATATTAGGGGAGAGTTCGGTATATTGTACCGCCGGGTAAATTGTACCACCCTCATATTTCATAAAGTATTTATTGAATGTCTGTAATTGCAACACTCAGTGATACACAACTAAAATCAATTAATATCGGCCATGTGGTTTTTGCCGTGACAACAAACACGTGTGTTTTATTTTGAAAAGTATTTTTTCATTGTTTTCAAGTAACTTTTGACAATACATGTTTGGATTGTAATTTTGTTAAATTTAATCACAGGGTGTTTCTAATATATTATTTAGAAGCGTAAATTAGTGTGGATTACAATTATTTGAAACATTTTTCGGTATTTATAAGCTATATTTTTTACCGATTTTTTAAAAGCACTATCGCCTAGTCGGCTAAATTGTACCACATCAAGTTGTATGGAACTTTACCAACGGATTTTGAAATTTTTTTTAGTAAATTATATTTTGAAGTTATAATAGCGTAGTTATGTTTGACTAACAATAAATGAAAGCAAAAGACTGGCAAAGTAGATTAGGTACAAGTGTGCGTTACGATAATTGGAATTACAAAACTTGTACTCAAAACCGTGATAACGTGTAAAACAATATGGATTGTCTATGTTATTAACTACTGTTCCTCTTCGTTTCCTAATTTGTTAAGAATGTATCGTATAATATTTTGCGATAGTTTTTTTAAAGGCTTGAAATTTATTGAAATCCAATTTAGTAACCCTGTGGTACAAATTATCGAACCGGTTGGCTAAATTGGACCGAAGCTCTGAACTCGTACTTTGTTGATTTGTGCTAAATATACAACAATCATATTAATTAATACTTAGGAAATAGTAAGTTGAATAATGTATCTTTTATTATATACCATGGACATTAGCAAAAACAAAAGAAAACTATGTGTAAAATGGGATTGAAAAAAACTGGTCCAAATTAGCGGACTCTCCCTTACTACGTAGTACATTATAACTCAATGGGTCGTACCCAGTAACGTCGAGTTGAATCTAGTAATGTCAAGTACCGAGTATAGTCTAGTAGGTACTGTCAAGTCGAACCCAGTAGCGTTAAGTCGAGTCTAATAGTGTCAAGTCATCTTATAGTTTCAAATTGAGTTTAGTACTTAATTTAAGTCGTAAAGTCGAGTCGTCGGGTCGTGATATTTAAAAACCTTACCTGTCCTTTAGGTAATGTGGGGTCCGTCCAGTACACAACAGCTGTAGTTCCACTCAACATTATCACCTGTAACAAAAATTGTATTATTATCTCCGTACCCTCGAGCATTTGAATTTGTGTGGGATAATCTCTTGGGAGACAAGACAATAGATACTTGTGATAAAAATGTTATAGATTTCGATACAAATAGACACCTGTAGGCAAAGGATGGGCACCGCAAAAAGCTTCTATCAATTTTACGCGATAAGCCAATACATTTGTTGTTTAAAATCATCGATAAGATTTGTGATGAGTGAGCGCCTTTCTGCTACCTTTATGAGTCGTCCCACACTATATTTTCCGGTACGTGACCTCGACTCCAGAACCGTGCTGCCCCATCCGCCGTCATTTCGTACGTGCGGACTATGTACCCTGCCTATTGTCACTTCTGCTAGCGCAGTATTTTTCAACCTTTTTCATGACGCGACCCCCCCTAGCATGAAAAAAATTTTTGCGACCCCCCGACCGATCGCTTTTTTTCATGCCTTTTACGAAGATGTTGTAGGCACCAAATTCTTTAGTCTATACAACATTTATGCATTTGCATAATTAGATTTCGAATAGATCTAGCTTTAAACCTTTACTGTTTTTTTTACTGATGTAGTTTTTACGACCTCTCGCGACCCCCCTATAGAGGCTTCGCGACCCCCCATGGGGTCGCGACCCACAGGTTGAAAAACACTGTGCTAGCTAATCTATCCGGCTATGTCAGCTATAGGGCCCTAGAGACCACGCACCTTGAGTCCCACAGGCGGCAGCAGGTCGGGCGGGTCGGGCTCGTCGTCCTCGTCTGTCCTCGGGCGGCGCACGGTCGCTACACCGCCGGCCCGGCCTTAGAGAGCACGCACCTTGAGTCCCACAGGCGGCAGCAGGTCGGGCGGGTCGGGCTCGTCGTCCTCGTCCTCGTCGTCCGCCTCGTCGTCGTCCTCGTCCTGCCCCTCGGGCGGCGCGCGCGTGCGTACGGTCGCGTACACCGCTGGCCCCAGGCCTAGCGCGTTGCTGCCGCGGAGAGAGATCACGTATTCCGCGTTGGATTCTGTGAGGAGTAAATAAGTAATAAAAATAAAATAAAAATAATTTATTATCAGACAAAAGCAGTCCATAGTTTGGTTAGTAACAATCTGAGGTATATAACAATTTAATGCAAGCAAGCATTAGGATTGCCTTATCTCCGGCGCTGCGGGAAGTGCGGTCCTTCCGCTCTGGCGTAACATATACCCGGCATGCCATGCTCGCTTCCGCAGCTTCAGCTTGGGTCGACCAATCGCACCGTATTATTTGTTTTTGGGAAAATCGGACGTTTTCACACAAAAAATGTAGTAGTGATATCTCGAAAACTTTTCGTGCTAGCGAAGTAATTCTTTCACCAAAGCATCTGTTTATAGTCTGGTCTGTGAGCACAGAACACATTTTGTCCAATGACCCCAAGCTACCCATCATTATCGCTCGCGCGTAATTATGTTGCTGTCGCGCTCGCATACTCATGGTGTGTGGTCGCGACTGTGCAACGGGCGCTCGCAGTGAGTATGCGAGCGCGACAGCAACATAATTACGCGCGAGCGATAAGGATGGGTAGCTTGGGTTCATTGGACAAAATTCTACGTGCTCACAGACCGGGCTTTAGTACATTTTCGCACAAAAAATGTAATAAAAGTTATGATATCTCGAAAAGTTTTCGTGCTATCGAAGTAATTCTTTCACCAAAGCATCTGTCTATTGTCTGGTCTGTGAGCACAGAACACATTTTGTCCAATGACCCCAAGTTACTATCCTTATCGCTCGCGCGTAATTACCTTGCTGTCGCGCTCGCACACTCACTGCGGGCGCCCGTCGCACAGTCGCGACAGCAATATAATTACGCGCGAGCGATAAGGATGGGTAGCTAGGGGTCATTGGACCAAATTCTACGTGCTCACAGACCGGGCTTTAGCGCGTTTCGAATCGATTGCGTGTGGATAAATTTTATGAACCTCTAGATGACTCTAGTAAATATCATGCGAGAAAAACGCGTCATTTGGACCAGTTCAAAGAAGTTTATGGCGTGTTGTGTAAACAAAATTGCTTTGAAATAGTAATGTGAAGCGTTTTTACAAATCATTTAAATATGAAGTGACGCATAACATGACATGTTTTTGGAAAATCTAACGCTTTCACACATAAAATGAAATAAAAGTAGTGATATCTCGAAAACTGATCGTGCTAGCGAAGTAATTCTTTCACCAATGCATTTGTCTAAAGCCCGGTCTGTGAGCACGTAGAATTTTGTCCAATGACCCCAAGCTACCCATTTTTATCGCTCGCGCGTAATTATATTGCTGTCACGACTGTGCGACGGGCGCTCGCAGTGAATTTGCGAGCGCGACAGCAACATAATTACGCGCGAGCGATAAGGATGGGTAGCTTGGGTTCATTGGACAAAATTCTACGTGCTCACAGACCGGGCTTTAGTACATTTTCGCACAAAAAATGTAATAAAAGTAGTTATATCTCGAAAACTTTTCGTGCTAGCGAAGTAATTCTTTCACTGCCTCTGTCTAGTATAGTGTTGTGCCTTTGTTGCCTGAATCTGTTGTTGCCAAAATAAAATTATTTGCTCTCTTTTCTTTCTTTCTCACCGAGTCCCCGTATGACGTGGGAGTGTAGATGCGCCGGCAACTCGCGCGAGTGGTCGTCGGGCACGCCCGCGCCCCAGCCCAGCCACCAGCCGCGGACCGCCACGCCGCCGCCGCCGCCCTCCGCCCACCACACAGAGATCCAGTCGCGGCCCGCGCGCGCTACAGAACGGGGACCAAGTTATAGTGGACAACATTGGGTACAAGGGATACAAGGACCAGGCTACAGTGGGCACTAGTGCTACAGTTGCGCGCCCAGCCAGCCACCAGCCGCCCTCCGCCCACCACACCGAGATCCAGTCGCGGCCCGCGCGCGCTATGGAACGGAGGTCAACTTATAGTAGACATTGCGAACAACAATCATGGAGCAGCCGCTGCTCTCCGCCCACCACACGGAGATCCAGTCGATCAGAAAGGAGGTCAAGTTAAAGTGGACAACAATGAACATTGGGTAAGGGATATAAGGTATAATGGTTCAGTTGCCGCCGCCCTTCGCCCACAATACCGCGCGCGCTAGAGAACGGACACCACGTCACGGACAAAAATTATGAAACAGCCGCTGCTCTCCGTCTGACACAAAGAGATCCAGTCGCGGCCCGCGCGCGCTAGACCAAGTTATAGTGGACAATAGTGAACATTGGCTGAAAGGGAGGCAAGGTAAAGCGGATTAGCCGGTGCTCTCAGCCCACCACACCGAGATCCAGTCGCGGCCCGCGCGCGCTACAGAACGGAGGTCAAGTTACAGTGGACAACAATCATAGAGCAGCCGCTACAAGGAGATCCAGTTGCGGCCCGCGCGCGCTACAGAACAAAGAGCAAGTTAAAGTGGACAATAATAACATTGGCTGCAAGAGAGGCAAGATATATCGGAGCTGATCCGCTGTATCTTGCCTCCCTTGCAGCCCTCTGCTCTCTCAGCCCTCAGCTCTCTACCCACCATAAAGAGAACCAGTCGCGGCCCGCGAGCGCTGGGAGACAGAGACCAGGTTATAGTGGAAAACAGCAGGCATTGGGTGCGAACGGAGAGCAAGTTATAATGGACAACAATGATAGAACCTACTTCTCTCCGCCCGACACAGAGATCCAGTCGCAGCACGCGCGCGCTGGGGAACGAAGGTCAACTTATAGTGGACAACAGTCATAGAACAGCCGCTACTCTCCGCCCACCACACCGAGATCCAGTCGCGGCCCGCGCGCGCTAGGAAATTGAGGTCAAGTTATAGTGGACAACAGTGAAGGATAACAATCATGGAACAGCCACTACTCTTCGCACTACACAAAAAGATCCAGTCGCGGCCCGCGCGCGCTACAGAACGGGGACCAAGTTATAGTGGACAACAGTGAAGGACAACAATCATGGAACAGCCACTACTCTCCGCCCACCACACCGAGATCCGGGTCACCGCCCGCGCGCGCTGCCAACCGGAAGTCAAGTTACAGTGGACAACAGTCATAGAACAGCCGCTACTCTCCGCCCGACACAAAAAGATCCAGTCGCGGCCCGCGCGCGCTACAGAACGGGGACCAAGTTATAGTGGACAACATTGGGTACAAGGTATACTATATTCTATATTCGCCCGAAACAAAGAGATCCAGTCGGAGCCCACGCGTGCTAGGGAACGGAGACCACGTTACAGTTGACAATAATGAAGATTGGCTGAAAGGGAGGCAAGATAAAGCGGATTAGCCGGTGCTCTCCGTCCACCATAAAGAGATCCAGCCGCGGCTCGCGCGCGCTAGGGAACGGAGGTCAAGTTATAATGTACAACAATCATAGAAGAGCCGCTGCTCTCCGTCTGACACAAAGAGATCCAGTCGCGACCCGCGCGCGCTAGACCAAGTTATAGTGGACAATACTGAACATTGGCTGAAAGGGAGGCAAGGTAAAGCGGTTCAGCCACTGCTCTCCGCCCACCACACCGAGATCCGGTCGCGGCCCGCGCGCGCTTCCAACCAGGGGTCAACTTATAGTGGACAACTGTCATGGAATAGCCACTGCTCTCCGACCGACACACGGACATCCAGTCGCGGTCCGCGCGCGCTACAGAACGGGGAGCAGGTTACAGTGGACAACAATCATAGTACAGCCACTGCCTGCCACCTACCATACGCAGATCTGGTCGCTGTCCGCGTGCTGAAGAATGGAAAGCAAGTCAGAATGGACAGCAGTCAACATTGGGTTGCAAGCGGGGCAAGGTGTAGCGGATCAGTCGCTGCTCTCTGCCCACCACTGACCACACCGAGATCCAGTCGCGGCCCGCGCGCGCTACAGAACGGGGACCAAGTTATAGTGGACAACAGCGAACATAGGTTGCAAGGGCAACAATGTGGCAAGATATAGCGGACCAGCCACTGCTCTCCGACTTTAAGCCTTCTTATGACTCCATCAGTGGCTTTCGTATTCGTATTTTTTTAAGTTCATATTATTTTTTTTAACCTAAAATAAACAATAAATGAAGTTACTGGTGAGCGGCGGCGGCTGCGGCGGCACGCGGGTCTCGTCGAGCTCCTGGCGCTGCGTGGTGGCCGTCACCCACTCGCTGAACGGGCCCGAGCCGTTCACGTTGATGGCGCACACGCGGATCTGCGGGGAAACCAGAATAGGCTAGTTTCCTACAATCATTTTTTTAGTCCGTCAATTTTAGTATAAAAAAATATTGGACACGTATATTTTTAATTCTCCATCAAACAAATAATTACAAAGTTATAGTGCGTTGAAGTTCCGCGCGACGTCACAAAGTGTTGCACTTTTACGCACTCACTGACGTCACGGGCCTTTTCTTTAGAACTTTGGCACGCTTTATCTCTTTACATTTTCATTAGTTTGAAAAAGTGGAAAATACGTGTCGAGTAGTTTTTGATAAGCTAACTGACGGACTAATTAAAACTCTTGCTTTTTTACCCAGGAAACATCCCTATTGACGTGATCGAAACAGATTTTAATTTGGTGTGGAGTTAACTGACACCCTGGATTCACACATAGGCGTGGGTAACACCGCGGGGCACAGATCTTCTTCCTCGGCCCGTCACTGATGAAAATCGCTAAAGCCTGGTCCGTGAGCACGTAGATTTTGTCCAATGACCCCAAGCTACCCTACCGCGACTGTGCGACGCGCGCCCGCAGTGAGTGTGCGAGCGCGACAGCAACATAATTACGCGCGAGCGATAAGGATGGTTAGCTTGGGGTCATTGGACAAAATTCTACGTGCTCACGGACCAGGCTTTACCACATTTATAGTGTTCCTCCACAGACTGCGATCATAAGCTGTGGGGCACAGATAGTTGACCAGAAATCCTACGGTTATGTGATGTAATCATGACACAGCTGTGGTGTATTTTGCTATAGCTATGGGACCTACTGTGGGGCCTATTATGCTACAGCTGTGGGGCCCATTATGCTACAGCTGTGGGGTCTATTATGCTACAGCTGTGGGGCCTATTATGCTACTGATGTGGGGCCTATTATGCTACACCTGGGGGGCCTATTATGCTACTGCTGTGGGGCCTATTATGCTACTGCTGTGGGGCCTATTCTGCTACAGCTGTGGGGCCTATTCTGCTACAGCTGTGGGACCTATTTAGGGACCTGCTGTGGGGCCTATTATGCTACTGCTGCGGGGCCTATTAGGTTACAGCTGTGGGGTTATTTATGCTACAGCCTGCCAGCCCGGCCGGCCGGTAGCGCAGCTTGGAGCCTGTGAGGCTTGCGGTGGGTCCTGTGAGACACGAGCCTCACCTGGTAGGTGGTGGCGGTCTGCAGCGCCCTCAGCTCGGCGCGCCGGGCGTCGGCGGGCGTGGTGAGCGAGTCGGCCTTGCGGCGGGCAGTNACAGCTGTGGGACCTATTTAGGGACCTGCTGTGGGGCCTATTATGCTACTGCTGCGGGGCCTATTAGGTTACAGCTGTGGGGTTATTTATGCTACAGCCTGCCAGCCCGGCCGGCCGGTAGCGCAGCTTGGAGCCTGTGAGGCTTGCGGTGGGTCCTGTGAGACACGAGCCTCACCTGGTAGGTGGTGGCGGTCTGCAGCGCCCTCAGCTCGGCGCGCCGGGCGTCGGCGGGCGTGGTGAGCGAGTCGGCCTTCCGGCGGGCAGTCGGCGCGGCGGAGTCGGCGGCGACGGCCCGGTAGCGAATCTTGTAGCCGGTTAGCGCTCCGTGGTGCGTCTTGGCCGGTGGCGCTTCCCAGCGGACTAGGATCGACTGGAATGAAGATGGACCTTTAGTTTTCTTGTTTTACGTCTTCGAATCTGTTTTTTGAGGTTGTTTCATATTTTTTAAACCAGCGCCATCTAGTCTCAAAATAAGCAGTTTACACTTATTGTAAAAAATTACTACCGCTTCTCCAGAGCCCCTCTCGGGCAATTGGTAGGCTGCGTATCCACTAGAGGCAGCCTCGGGCCGAGCGGCGACCGAGAGCCAATGAACCTCAATCTGCGGCACGCCGGACCCTGAGGTAAGTTCGTCGCCGGCAGCCTCTAGTGTATACGCAGCTGTATCTGTGGACGTGTCTACTGACCGTAGCCCCAGTAGGCACAGCCGTAAGGCTGGCAGTGTGTGTTAAGTGTGTATTTTTAACGCCCTAAGCTCGTCCTTAGAGGAGCGAGGGGGGCGCATGTGTAGTGTTTGAATATGCTTAAGTGGGCGTGGCTATCTACTCACCGTAGCCCCAGTACACACAGCCGGCTGTAGTGTTAAGTATGTATTTTTTACGCCCTAAGCTCGTCCTTAGAGGGGCACGGCACGCTCATGTGTACATTTGTGTTCTAATATGCTTGTGACTCTGTGTGTGTTAAGGTTAGAGGGAGGGTGGTGACATGTGCTTGAATATGCTTGAGTGGGCGTGGCTATACTCACCGTAGCCCCAGTAGGCACAGCGTTAAGGTCGGCGGGCGGCGCGGCGCACATATCCACGATAGTGTTTAGAGTGTCCGCCCTAGCTTCGTTGAAAGTATATGAATGTGTGTGTTGAGCGTAGCACTGGTAGACAGCAGTGAGGTTAAAGGGGGAAGCGGCGGGCCCATGTGTACAGTGTTTGAATATGCTTAAATGGGCGTGGCTCAATCTCGGCACATCGCGTCTTGAGGTAAATTCGTCGTCGCGAGTCGAGCCATATTGTGTAGTTCGGGACGAGGCAGCCTCTAGTGTATACGCGGCTGTATCTGTGGACGTGTCTACTGACCGTAGCCCCGGTAGGCACAGCAGTAAGTCCGGCGGGCGGCGCGGCGGGCGCGGCACTGGGCGTCCGGGCTTGCCTCTCGGTCGGCGCGCCGCCGGCGGCCGCGACGCGCACGGTGTAGGCGGCGGCGGCGCGCAGGCCGGCGAGGGTGGCGTTGACCGGCGCCGCCGGGTCTGAAGGAGCGTCCACCCACATGGTTTGTTCGCGGTTGCTGTCCACCTGGGTTGAGACATTATGTTACGGTCTACTGACTTGATTAGACAAAATAAAATGACTAATTATAAAGTATTGTAAAAAAAAATTTAAAAAAAAAATCTTTGGATGCCAACAATAGAAAAGTGGATGAGATTTTTTATTTACGAGGGTATAGAACACTTGAGAAACTTCAAAAATGTTGTACTTCTACTTAATGAGGAAGATGACCAAAATTGTGTGACCCTAATAATTGCTTAAGTCTTCAATCTTCACTTCTTCATACTTGCTTACCCGCGGCTCTAGCCAGATCCTCCCTCGTGAAAGCGTTATGACACTAGGACTACTAGAAGCATTCATGCTATGATTTCAAGCCTTCTATCCAGTCACTTAAAGTGCGCGCTGGACCTCAACCAAGTCTCTCAGTCAGCTAAGAGCACTGACCCCTGATGACGCTAAAATTAGGGTGACAGTGGTTTCTCCTTCTTTCATAGTCAAAACTGTATGACCCCAATCACATTTCTCGTGATCCCAGCTAGGTCCCCTTGTGACACTAGAGCCATTCATAATATAGTTTTGTAACAAATTGCTATTTACTGTTTAACAGTACAGTTTTTAGGCTACTCATGATGTTTCTTTTGCTCCAGAAATTGCATTGTTTTACTGGTTTACCTTTTCTCCGCAAGTTACACACTTAATTTTTATTGGTTTTCCAAGATAGAGGCTTGGCCTAGTTTGGAAACCTCTGTATAATTACTCTGTGTCCCTTTCATTTTAAAATGTGTCACTACTATAGCAAATGTATAAAGTTTTGTGCAATAAAAAAATATTAATAGTGTCTACAATATAAAATAGCAGAGTTTGCGCTTAGCATGCAATTAGCATAATAAGGCCGTAAGAATAATTGAACTAATTTCTGTAACTAGATTTTATAACATTCTATGTGGTTGAGATAACATGGTTCAATAAACGTCTCTGAAGAAGATCAGAGGATGTTGGGAACCGATTGGTGGACCAACCTCTTTTTATATTGTCTATGTTTTTATACTTTTTTTATTACTTTTGATACCTTTTGTTTAGTATTGAAGTTGATGTTTTTTGATAGCCGTTGTGGGCATATTTTGCAGGAATATATCTTCATTTTAACCGAAGGTTTTTCTTATTTCTGCCGCCCGAGCGGCTGTCCGCAACATTTCATTTAATTCATCCTCAAGACTCAACATACTTCCGTTTGAACCTCCTCCAGCACTGACCTCTGTGTACGTGATCTGGTACTTGTCCGGCGGCGCGCCGGCGGGCGGCGGCGGCGGCGGCGCCCACGTGACCCGCAGCGCGTGCGGCGACGCCGGTTCTACGCGGAGTTCACGCACCGCGCCGTGGGAGAGCTCCTCTTCCGGCGTTGTTATTTCTAGAGGCTAGAAAACAAGTAACCGTTTAAGGTTAATTTCTTAACTATAGAGCTTCGCAAATTGAAGTTTCAATGCGCTTCAAATTAAGTCAAATCAAATTATTTATTTTGCGAACATGGGTATTACACGTAGGTCTTACAAGTATTTTAGTATCTCCATCAGCTTTTTAGTTGTTTAACTTTATACTCGCATCTGCAAATACGCTTCTGTTAACGCCACTCAGTTAAGATTCCCACTAGATGGAGTTATATGATTTTAACTCGCGATGGTAAAATAATGATTTTATTGCGATAACTTCTAAAAATATTTTTTTATATTGTTTAAAAAATGTGAACAATCTATGTGTGTATTTTTTAATAGTGTAAGTATACATTATGTACTGTTGGTTGGTATACCTTTCTAAATAAATTTTTCATAATTTCTTTTAAATTTTCTCTAGAACTTTTTTAAAAGCGAACAACTTCTATGGATGTTACCTTGGTGGGCGGCGAGAATGCGTGCTGCGTGTAGGCCAGCAGTTGAAACGTGTAGGTGGTGTTGGGCTGCAGCGCCGCTACATTCATCTCGTGCCGCGCGCCGCCGCGGGACACGCGCTCTCTGAGAAACACGGACAAATATGAATATAACTAGGTTCATCTATAATCAAACCAAGAGCAAATACACATACAAGGACCAGATAAAAAGATTAATATCATTCAGGTTGATTCATTATCTAACTGAGAATATCTACACTAGCTATCTATCTAAAGCCCGGTCTGCTCGCACACTCACTGCGGGCGCCCGTCGCACAGTCGCGACAGCAATATAATTACGCGCGAGCGATAAGGATGGATAACTTGAGGTCATTGGACAAAATTAACGTGCTCGCAGACCAGACTATAGCTGTTATCTACATCGATACCAAAAAGATCTCTTAATAATAGGCCACGGTAGCGTCGTCGTAATCACATCATAAAAGATAAATGCTGGTGTCTAATCATAAGCCACATTCGTTCTCAGTCTCTCAAATATGCCTTTCACAAAGAAGTAATAAATTATTATTCTACACCGGCTCACAAAGCACGACAACAGGGCATTTGCCAACGTTTCAATTAAATAACGTCAACTGCTGGACAAAAGCCCCCCAAGAATTTCAATAAATAAAATCTGGTCCTACATTACCCACAGCCAATATCATATTAACTTTCATAAAATATTACCTTTCACTCCCTTTGACTTTATAGATGACGGCGTAACCGCTTATATCTTCATTCTTCGTATCAGGCTCCTCCCAGCTAAGCGTGACGAATCGGTGCTTCACGATAACCGCCTTTAAGTTCTTCGGCGGAGAGATCACAGTCGCGTTGGCGTGCCGCAGCTGGTCCAGGTCCAATCCTTCGTTAGCGTGAAAGGAATCGAGATCGTTTTCGTCAGTTTGATCTGCGTCGTAGTTATAGTCATATTCCAGTTCAGGCCCAGAAGTGAATGCTGATGAGGTTTCTCCGAGGAAGTCCAAGTCTTCAGGCGTAGGGTCTGCACTTTGGTCCCCCCAGTGCCCCGAGGAAACCAAACTATTGAAAATGTCTTGGGTGGAATTGGAAAAGGAGGGTTTTGTGTGGGATGGTGATGTCATCGATGTAGGCACGAGGGAGTTTAGGAACGATTTGCTGTTTATAAGCCCGGCTGTGGAATTTGGTGAATTGATACCTGGAAATAATTGGTGAAAAAAAAACTAAAATGATGAACTAAAATAAATAGAAATGATAAAAAGCAAAATAATACTGAAAGCTTGAACGAAAGTGTAAAAAACTAGGTAAAAAAAAACCGAAAACAATATAATTGGAGTTTTAAAAAAATCCTGAAAGATTAGAACACGTTAAAGCAAGTGAGAATCATGATCTAATATCTTTTTCTTTGGTCGACACCGCATCGAGTGAACGTGTCAAGCTGTTACTTCGACAAGTCTGTCACACTCTATACAAAAATCACTGGTTATGGTTATAGTAACGGTGAAAGTAAGGTGGTGCAAGTGCAACGCAGCTTTAATCTAGATATAGTCTGGTCTGTGAGCACGTAGAATTTTGTGCAATGACCCTAAGCTACCCATCCTTATCGCTCGCGCGTAACTATGTTGCTGTCGCGCTCGCACACTCACTGCGGGCGCCCGTCGCACAGTCGCGACAGCAATATAATTACGCGCGAGCGATAAAGATGGGTAGCTTGGGGTCATTGGACAAAATTCTACGTGCTCACAGACCGGCTTTAGCATAGTTACCGTCATCAGGAGGTAGCACGACGAGCCGGAGACTGGCCTGCGCTTGTCCAAGGGAAGAGGTCGCGACGCATTGGAACATTCCCGCGTCCACCGCTAACACGCCTTGGATGTGCAGCGACGTGCTGGAATGAAGATCGATTGGTTAGGTATGAAACGTGTGAATTAGAGACTACTTAGTACGATATTCACTGCTATATGGAAAACCCTACGAGCATACCTTCTACTTATTTCTGTTTATTTTATTTTATTTTATTTTATTTATTACGGTATACCAACAATATAAGCGACTATACGTATGTATTAAAATACATTTGTCACCAACCCCTACTCCTCCCGCGGGTGTCGTAAGAGGCGACTTAGGGACTACACATCAAACAGAGAACGGGCAGCAGCGCTCTCTGAAAAACATCACTCTTTTAAACTGCGATCTCCAACCCGCCTGAAAAGCGTGGAGATTATGGCAAAACCCTCCACTATAGTGGAGTAGGCTCATAGTCTAGCAGTGGACTGTAAAGGGCTGTTGATGATAAGCGATTATACGATTCGGATTAATCTTTTAAGGGAAAGTTATGATAAAGAGGGATAGTGATTTGGTTTTAACGACTTCCTAAAACATAAACATTTGTGAAAGAAATTCATCTGTTTATAAGTTTAGTTAAGACTTCACACCTAGCTAATTTGTTATTCATCGCTCAATATTAAGCAGTTACGTTGAACGTTGAGTTTTATCAAAAATAGTTTACGAGTCGAACTTGTTTTTGAGGTGAAACCTTTTGAGGTGAAGAAGTCAAAAGTTATTATTTGAAAAAATCCAGAGCTTAAGAGCCCCAACCCCACATTATGAGAGGCACATATTCAAATTCTTCAATCAGTCTGCCAACCTCTGGTAAGCTATACAGTGATTTTTTTAAATTGTTTAATCTCACCCGTCAACCAGCGTGATATCGTGTCTATTCAGCGACAGCGGCTCGCCATCTTTGAGCCACGTGACGTCAGGCGCGGGCCGTCCTCGCACTGAGCACGCTAAAGTAGCGGAACCACGCGCGCGCGCAGACACTACCGATCCGCCTGGTAGTTGCACGCGGGGGTACGTCTGTAGAGAGAAAGATATAGGAATTAATGTTTGAACTTGAACTAGGTAAAGCCTGGTCCGTGAGCACGTAGAATTTTGTCCAATAACCCCAAGCTACCCATCCTTATCGCTCGCGCGTAATTATGTTGCTGTCGCGCTCGCACACTCACTGCGGGCGCCCGTCGCACAGTCGCGACAGGAATATTTACGCGCGAGCGATAAGGATGGGTAGCTTAGGGTCATTGGACAAAATTCTACGTGCTCACGGACCAGGCTTTAGTTCAATCAGGGTTTTCGCGAATGAAAGATCCGCTAGATGGCGGGACGTGGATGTGGGGTCTGACTGCTGCGTGATTGGTGGATTTTGACATATCTGTCAATGTCATGTCAAAAATCACCTATCATGCAGCATTTGGACCTCGCGTCTACGTATTGCCATCTGGCGGATTTTTTATTCGCGAAAACCCTCATTGACCGACTTCTGAGTAACGCGAACAGCTAGGGATTAGAATTCGCTGCCTGATGCTGTCTTTACTGAACACTATAATCCGGGTCTTTTCAAGAATAGGGCAGATATGTTCCATCCTAGACTGCATCTCACCTAACACTAGATGCGATTGCGTCAAATACTAGCCTTGTCGTGCATAAAAAATGACAATAATTGAGGCTTGATTTCCTGATGTTCTGACTCGGCTGCACGCGGAAATAGGTCTGCGAAATGGGCATAAGATTATCAGATTTGTGAATAATTTATGGCTAGGGAGCAGGGAGGCTAAGGTGCAGTAGGTTAGGAAAAATGTAGGCTAGGGGATAGATCGGCTAGGGGGCGTGTAGGTTAGAGGACACGTAGGCATGGAGGCTAGAGGACACGTAGGCTAGGGCCCGGGCACTTGTAGGCTAGCATGTACGTAGGCTGGGGGCGAATAGGCTAGGAATTACGCAGGCTAGGGGGCATGAAGGCTAGAAGGCGTGTAGGGTAGGGGTCGTCTAAGGTAGGGGACGTGTAGGCTAGGGGACATCTAGGCTAGAGTGGCGGGCAGGCTAGGGGCGTGTAGGCTAGAAGGCGTGTAGGGTAGGGGTCGTCTAAGGTAGGGCACGTGTAGGCTAGGGGACATCTAGGCTAGAGTGGCGGGCAGGCTAGGGGCGTGTAGGCTAGAGGACACGTAGGCTTGGAGGCATGGATGCTAGAGGACACGTAGGCTAGGGGGCAGGTAGGCTAGGGGCACGTAGACTAGGGCACTTGTAGGCTAGTATGTAGATAGGCCAGGGGGCAAGTAGGCTGGGGGCGAATAGGCTAGGAATTACGCAGGCTAGGGGACGTGTAGGCTAGAAGGCGTGTAGGGTAGGGGTCGTCTAAGGTAGGGGACGTGTAGGCTAGGGGACATCTAGGCTAGAGTGGCGGGCAGGCTAGGGGCGTGTAGGCAGTGGCGGATTAACAGTATCCGAGGCCCTAAGCACAGAGCCTGTGTAGGCCCTCTATTACTTAAATGGAAATGGAAATGGAAGGAATGGAATGAAAGGTAGAAAGTATGAAATGAAAGTTCATCAAAATAGAATGTGTAGTAGGTATAATTTAAAACTTATAANCCTAAGTACAACAGGTTCCCCTACGTTACTCGTGACGTCTTCTAGCACAGCTTTTACCACAGAAATATGGATTTTACATAGTTTAGTCTTTAAAAAAATGAATCGCAAAATGTGATGGTAAGCGCATAACTCAACAACGCCTGGACCAATTTTACAAATTCTTTTTTTTTTCAATGTTCGTTGAACGGCGAGAAAAATTCGAATAATTTCCGAGAAAACCTCGAGCGAAACCGCGGGCGGAAAGCTAGTTATTTCATCATCATCATCATCATCATTTCAGCCACAGGACGTCCACTGCTGAACATGAACATAAGCTAGTTATTTAATACAATTAATTTCAAAGTATTTAAAAGATGTTATAAAATATAAAATGAAGACTTTTTCAATAACTTAAAGAATATAATTTGTAGTTTAAATAAAAGTAAATAGGGTAAACTGCCAGTCATTGGACTCTTAAAAAAGTTATTGGACAGTTAGGTTACTGAATTAAAAATAGCATTTCTATTTCAACAACTGAGAGATTCCGACTGATGGAGATAAAAGGGCGTTTTTTTAAAAGAAATATTCACTTTAAGAAAATTCAAGGGTTATTTTGTCCAATGAATGTCGGTTTACCCTAGTTGATAATTAAATCTCTCTTCGTAAACCATTTTGCAAACCAAACGTATTCTATTTCTATTATTACAATATTGATATTACAATTAAAACTAATTAGTTTTTGATGAATTAATATTAGTTGTATTCAAAAAGTCACGGATCACGAGCAGGTTATTTCATGGCCATAAGGGATAAAATATTATTATGCGAACACGTCATGAATGATGCCTCCCCAAACCATATTGGGCAGCATGACGAGTGTAAATGTTTTTTTTTAAATAGAGTGAATTCTCCTACAGGGGAGACTTAATACCCGATGATGATGAAGCTACAGGATTCTACATTCTATTTATAAGTATAATAACGAAGAATATCATTTCTTAGAAATAAAAATGCTTTTTTAATTAATCATTTTTATTTATGTAAACGTTAAAGTAAATGTAAAAAATGATCAATTTTATTCTTACACAGCTAAAACTTGAATCGNTTGAATCCACACATTACAAATCAGTTTGACAAATATAAAGGAACACAATAGACATAAAGTGGAAGTAGTCTTCGTCGTTGTTGATTTGCACATCAGTTAAATTAGAGTAGACCGGCTCGATCTCTTGGAGCGAACTATCGAGACTTTCGTCGCTGTCTCTAGTCGTCTCGGCCCAGGAGACTCGCTTGGAGCTTCTGGAAGTTTCTTTCTTCTTGTCCGACGCGGGAGTGGAATGGGAGACAGGGGAGGGGGGTCCTTTGGTTGGTGTTTGGGCGCATTTGTTCAGGTAGTGTTTGCGGAGGATGTATTCCCGCATGGAATCGTGGGCGGCGCGTTTGGGGGGCGGGGGCGGGGGTGTTTCGGACTCGTCGTCGCATAGACAAAGGTTTTTGTCTTTTCTGGCGTCTTCGATGCGTTTGGTTTCCTCCTCGTTGGCGGGTAGGGGCCAGGCGCCGAGGTGGGAGCGGACGAGGTGCGGGCGCGAGTGCGCTGCGCAGAGGATGCGCTTGCGCACGAAGTCGTGGAAGACGGTTAGCTCGGAGCTGAGCTCGCGCCGCACTAGCTGCTTGTGGCGGCTCGGCACGCTCGCGTCGCGGACTGCTAGCAGCGCCTGCGGAAATACAATTAAATTAAATTAATTAAACCACTAATAACTCTACACTACATTCTTTTACGCTTAATTTTAGCCCTGTAGACATGTCTGTTATTTTTAAATCAACTGTAATTTTTATTTATTAAATTGAGCTGGTGAACCACGTCACAAGTTCCTATTGCTTTAAAATGTATAGGGGACTGCGTTTCGACAGATCATAAAAAGTATACCTTAGGTCCACATTAGATATTGGTCCGGCTAATATCATCGCCTCACGCAATCGGAGCGCGGTGAATCATTCTGGTAGCGATGAATGGTCCGTTGTGGATCTGAGCCCCGATTACGGTAACTTTTAACGTCTACAATCCAGACGCGTTTCTGATTCTGCAATACGATTGGTCAAAACAGCTGACGTACGCTGTTGAACGACCAATCGTATCGCAGAATCGAGAAGCGTGTCTGGATTGTTGACGTTAAAAGTTACCGTAATCGGGGCTCTGATTATATTCTCAACCGCTCGNACTTATAACATTTTTTTCCTTGCCTTAACCAGAGCAAACTCCGAGATAACATCGTCGAAATTTATCTGACGAAGTATGTCTGCCTCAATACACATTAATGCTAAAGAATTAAGCTTGTCTGGACGGATTTTTGTTCTTTGCGGGTTTTTTAATCTTTTTAGTTGTGAGAAGGATCGTTCAGCAGAGCAGTTAGTGATCATTAAGCTGTGAAAGATTCTAAACGCCACTTCTATATTTGGGAAAACGCACTTTACTTTATCTTTAATAATCATTTCATATAGATCGGAATGGGTGACCTTTGTTTCTGAAGAATCATATTTTATTCGAACATACTTGTGAAAATGATTAAATTCGCCGAGGAAGTTTTCATTGAAATCTTCTGGGTAAGATTCTAAGAGCAATTGGATATCTTTTTCATATTCTGAACATGCCTTATTTAGATCCGCAAGAAATGAAAACTTTTGTGAAACTTCGTGGTATACATCACCTCTTCTTTGCATTTCAGCATTAAGAGTGTCAATTATTACATTGAAAGTCTCAATGCGAAATTTGTCTCTAGGATTCAAAGCAAGTTCCTCTGCATTTCCATCATTTACTTGTTTCTTCCTAATTCGTCTTCGAGTTTCCTTATATTCCCCATTAGGAAAAATTTTTCTTGCCTCGCCTTCAAATTTTTCAAATTGATTCCTCATTTCAACGAGATGATCCGATAAAGAATGATACAAATTGGAACACGTTTTAAGATGTAATCCTTCTTTTTGGAGTCCTTTGCTGGTGCGATGAAAAACTTGTAGAATATCATTCCACAAAGTGAGCATAAATACAAACTCAAACTCTTGCATTTTGTGTGAAATATTTTGTGATTCTAACCTGGTCTCACCTTTTTGGTTTGTGTCTTCAGCAATTTCATCTAAAGCATCCAAAATTTTCTGATAAGATTGTAATATTGCACTAGTAGCTACAGCATGAGCTTCCCAACGCGTGTCCGACAGCGACTTCAGAACGCTTTCGTTGCCTATTAATTCTTTTAAAACTGCCCAACGATGAGTAGAAGCCGAAAAAAAATTGTATAACAACTGCACAATAGAAAAAAAATTCACTGCGATCGTACAACAATCAACAGCACTGCGACCAATTAAGTTTAGAGTATGTGCGGCGCATGGTATAAATACAGCATATTTATTACGCTCTAAAATTTTTTGCTGCATCCCTTTGTATCGTCCTGACATATTGGCGGCATTATCATATGATTGTCCTCTGCATTTTGCAATATCTATTTTGCAACCCTCTAGATAACTGAGTACAATATTTGCCATCTCTTCTCCGGTATGACTTTTTAAATTTAAAAACGTCAGAAATCGTTCCACGGGCACACAATCAGACGGCGACACGTATCTCAAAATAATACTTAGTTGATCCGTATGTGATAGGTCAGGCGTGGAGTCCACTGAGAGGCTGAAGTATCCAGCTGATTGTATTTCTTCGACAATCACTTTGTGAACTTTATTACTCATTAAATCGATAAGTTCGTCGCATACTGTTTTCGATAGATATGATGGGTTGCCCTTCCCTTTATTTCCACATCTTGCAATATGGCTTGCTAAAAATGGATCGAATTTAGCCACAAGTTCAAGTAAACCCAAAAAATTACCATTATGTATAGATCCAAAAGATTCCTCATGTCCTCTAAAGGCCAAACCACGTTCGGCAAGCGTTTGTATAACTGCAATAACTCGTTGCAAAACATTTTGCCAGTATTTTATTTCTTCTTTCACTTGTGCCTCTAGATTTTTCGTGATCCCTAGACCTTGTCTTCGACTCAAATAAGTTAGCATAAAGTCCTTATGAGCTGAACTATTTTCATGGTGCTCAATTGCAATTACGTTGCGCCAATCACTAAATCCGTCAGCTGCAAATTGGCTCGGCGCTGTGGCTATGGATTTGTTACTAAACAACTTGCAAACAAAGCAATACAAAGATCCTTTTGTTTTTGAATACAGTAACCATTCCCGTTTATAAGTTTCACCGTTGGCTTTTTTACCGAAAAATAGTCGTGGTGTGCAAAAACGGACACTTTTACCATTAGCATATGTACGGCGCGATTCATGAAATGGGCCCTGATGGTGCTGACAATTTTCTGGACCGTGGTCAATCCAGTAGCAAAGATCTTCCTCAGAAAATTCCGTCCACAGCCCAGCATCTGTCTTTCTATTGGAATTGACGGGTTCAATTTTTGAAACTTCAGGAATCGCAACAATAACAGGTTCAGATTCATCGGGATCAGGAACAGGTGTTTTAGTTTCGCTATTTATTTCATCGTCATCAAAATGATCATCTGAGGTGCCTGTAGTACTGTTTTTATCAATTTGTGTTCTAACAGATGATGAAGATTGAGATTCTAGAAAAACATTATTATCTGTACCAGATTCTAACTGATTGGTTGGAAAAAACGATGTCATTTTTGGGAGTACATCTGTTTTTTTCTTCTTCAGCTCTGCCTGTTTGCGTTTTTGTGCGCCACTGAGATGATGGCGTTTCATTCTTNGCGTACTATTTTTATATAATTAATATTATCTTAAAATTTGTATAATGCCTATACTTATTCAAAATGACGTACTCATATCACTAATTCAGCCGCCGAACTACTATGAGTACCGAGTGTGCCGTCTGCGCTATAAATTCTTTAAAGAAAAACAAAGGAGCGGAGCGGGCCGAAATGCGACACAGCCTCCCCGTGCGAACGCTAGTGAAAGACTGAGCTCCCGCTATCGCGCGGCCCGCGTGCGGAAATTACCGGGTATTTTGATTGTATGACACGTAATACATTATTTTTGAAAAAAAACGAACAACAATTTTTTAGACAATTAAATTTTCTATCATTTGGTGAAAGAATCATTAAAATCGCTTCAGCCGTTTAGGAGTAGTAGGAAATTTATTTGGTGAAATTAGAAGAAAGTTAAGAATTTTTTCTGTCAAAACTAATAGTTGTAACAAAAAAAACGAACAACAATTTTTTAGTTTAAGATATCATACATCTCATACATATTTTTTTTTCTTGTTTGGATCATCCATTTAGGAGGAGTAGGGATTCAAAGAGAGGTCTTTTTTGCAGTTTTGCCTCACCTATCGCCTTAATATAGATGATTAGTATCAATAACAAATATCTTCTTCTGTATACGTACGGACAGTGCCCTCTGGAACCTGAAATAAATTAGTTATAGCTAAAAAATATATATATAATACGGGCATTATTGCGTATGTGTAGGCAGTGTAGGTTATTATAAAGTAATAAAATAAACAAAGTGCAAAAGACATTGAACCTTTTTGTATGAAGCCAAACAAACCTTAACTTAGAAGTACGTAAAATGTATTTTTTTTTGTGTACAGGTCAATCGAAACCTTGGCCAATCGATGGAGGGTAGTGGCGGCTGTACCTTAAGTACGGCACTACCAGTCCAAATAATATAAAATAATATTGATAAAAACTTTATTTTCCAATACTTCTTTAATATTATTAAACATACAAACGCATATAAAATAATTCAATTACGACTAAACAATTTCCTGTAATGAACACATCTGTTAGTCCGTACCACTCTACTGCTTCGTGCGCTCGCCAATCCGCACGAGGACCGCTCATACAGCTTGTATGCGCGCGAGACAGCAAATGTTTCATAGAAAATGTACTGGGACCGCATTTTTGAACAGTGAATTTTCGAATCCGCAATTTTCAAAAATACGGCCCCTGCAGTAGGCACTAAGCAAATCTCGGACGCCGCACGTTTTACGAATGGCGGCGCGCGGACCGCGTGACCCGTAATGACCTCTCGTCTCGTTGACATGTCATGTCAGTGATTGTTTCGCTGCATGTCGCGACTAGATAATTAACCTCTATTAATTACCTTTTAGCGCTTTTGTTACTTTCTGTGTGAGTGATTTGATTGTGACAGTAGTGTGAACATAAATTATTGACTTCATAAAGAAAATAGTAAGACATTTTCAAAATAAAGTTGAAATAAAATTGGCGCGCGCTGTCAACTGTTGGTTGCTGGTTAGTTTACGACTTCAAACTAGGTAACATTTGCGACAATTTTTCAAAAAATAATTGTTGTTTTGATTAATATTTTCCATGGATTGGCATAGGTTTCATACCTGTACATCAAGGGGCGACATTTCGTATGCTTTCATTCCAACTTTAGGTATGTTCAAGAGGTTCCATGGTTTTTCATGTTTTGTTGGTGAATTACGGTGTTTTTGTGAATTTGTTATTTTAGTAAGAATGTAAAAAAGCTGTGAAAAGTGTGGTGACAGCTGTAGCTGTTCGTCAAAGTTGAGGGACTTTTCGAAGTTTAGTTATGTATGAAACATAAAGTTAGAACTATTGTTGAAAAATTCTTTATACGTGCAGTGTACGTAATCAATAGTGAAAGCTTAAAATATAGTACTTACCTGAAAACTTAGTGTGGGGCAACGATAAGTGTAGTTTCAATCAAAGCCACTACGTAAATAAAGTAGGTAATTAATTACATGCGGTAATGAATGCGTATGGGCGCTATCATTTGCATTGCAAAGACAACTGCAGGGTGCGGAAACTTCCATACTACGGTCATCCAAGTGAAACTTGCTTCCAAACAGCGACATCGGTGGATAAATTCAAATACTTTTTAACTACCCTAAAACGCTCTAGATGTCGCTGCTCCTGTTTCCTTCATATTTTCATTTTTTCTTAATTAAAATATATTTGAGAATATTGTTAATTATAATGTGAAAACTTTTTTAAAATGAAATTAATTAATTAATTAATTTTATGTGTGTTCACTGTTCATAAATAAAGTAAAATTATTAAATTCAAAAGTTTTTGTTTATTTGCATTTCCATGTGCAATGTAGAATTTTTCCAAATCCATTGTTTTGGAAATAATATAATACGTACACCATAAAGATAAATATTTTCAAAATAATTGATTTGAAAAAATTCTACATTGTACATCATAAAAACAATAATTCTTTGAAGGTTATGAGGGCCTATGTGTGCGTGAACTGTGTGTATGTGTGCGTGGACTTTATGTATGTATGTGTGCGTGGACTATGTATGTATGTGAGCGTTACGTACGTAGGTTAAGTACAGGGAATTTAACACCAGGCTGTCAATTAGTAGGTTCAAAAATTTGACAGAGAGGGCTCTCTATTTCCTATGTATTACTTTTCTCTATGGACAACTGATTCACTCGGACTCGCGGCGCGACGCGAAGTGCGGGCGGGGCGCGCAGGGGGTAGGGCCCTGCGGGGGTGTATGAAAGGTCACTCCCGGACTCTCGCGCCTTGTGATTTCGGACATATTGTGGATGAATCTCGATAAAATGTATGTATAAAATGAAAAGCCAGCAGGAGGATGGGGCCCCTGGAGAACAGGGGCCCCAAGCACGTGCTTGTAGTGCTTATACGTTAATCCGCCACTGCTGAATACAGTAGTTGCAAGTCTTAAAGGATGCCAAAATTTGAAGCTCAACAGCTGGTCCGGACCACATTGTATCGTGCGCCAAAATGCCTCGCGCGATCGAAGCGCGGTGGATCGTCCAGTATGTACCTGACTATTTTATTTGGCAGGGCTGGCTAAATGTCACGGGCCCCCAAACCAAGGGGCTCCGGCCTAAGTCCCTAATCGCCCCTTCCCCCCACGCTGCTTCAGGGCTGGATGGTGCCGGAGCTCCCTTGAAAAGAAACCCTAGAATTTGCCACGGGCCCCGGACGGTATAGTTACACCACTGCCAGGAAACATCCCTATTGCCTTTCAATGTCAATCAAGGCGCGCCGGCCACGAGCCGCTCATCCAGCCAGGGCAGCGCGCTGGCGGCCGACGAGATGCTGGCGAGCGACTGGCTGCGGTTGCTGACGTCACACCCCGGGCACGGGAGCGGTGCCTCACAACCGCTGCCGCCCGTACAGTCAGTGTACCTGCTCGGCCAGCAGCGTGGCGGTGGCCTCGAGCGCGCCGGCCACGAGCCGCTCGTCCAGCCAGGGCAGCGCGCTGGCGGCCGACGAGATGCTGGTGAGCGACTCGCTGCGGTTGGCGCGCCGGGACTCGCCGGGGCTGCCGCAGGAGCAGGCGCGTCTGCGACCGCGCGGGGAACGCGAGCCGCTGCCTTCGTCTGCGTGATACGCCTGAAAATTAAAAAGATGTAGTTTAAAAATTAGGAGTTTAGGACAACATTATGCCAACTTTTACCTGCTGACGGCGAATCATTTAATTTTATTCTTGTAAGCGCTTTTATAACGGTGGACCTAAAACAGTACCCTGAATACACCCTTAGTAATTATATTTAAGTTATGTACTGTTTAATTTTATCTTACAAGCACACACTTTAAAACTAATCTTTTAGCTTTTAAGATGTTTGGGAAATAAATACAATACAAATAAACTTTTTTTAATTAAAACTAAAATATAACAGTGGACCCAAATAGTACCCTGAGAAACTCCCTTAGTAAACTTCTTTGATATATTGTTTACTAGCTTTCCGCCCGCGGCTTCGCCCGCGTGGAATTTTGTCTGTCACAGAAAAACTTTATCGCGCGCGTCCCTGTTTCAAAAACCGGGATAAAAACTATCCTATGTTCTTTCCCGGGACTCAAACTATCTCTATGCCAAATTTCATCAAAATCGGTTGCGAGGTTTAAGCGGGAAAGCGTAACAGACAGACAGACAGACAGACAGACAGACAGAGTTACTTTCGCATTTATAATATTAGTTGGGATACTCACATGATTGAGGGATCTGGTGAGCAGGCATATAGCCGACAGCAAGGTTCCAAATGTCAGCTGCGGGAACGGCTCGTAGGATATCTTGGGAGCCCCGAAGTGAAGTTCCACGAGGGGCTGCCAACGCTCCATGTCCAGTCCAGGGTCAGCCAGTAGCGAGAGCAGGTCTGGACTGAAGGAAAGCAGGCAGAGTGTTGCCATGTGGAGGATTTCCAACGTTCTGTAAATGTAAAGTTTTATGTTGTGGATATTATGTCATTGCTAGCAGTCTTATAAAATTCGGTTTATGGGCATTTGGTATAAATTTGTTAATAGTATAGTAAATATGAACATTTATACGAAAAGTCACATTCGTGTGACATGCTCATAAAACGCTTGGTATGGGTTTTTTTCTGTACAGGCATAGCTCATGAGCAGAGTAGCGGTGCGGAGGAGGTATAATGCAGTATTTTATGTCACATGTGATGTGTNTCTGCGTGGTACGCCTGAAGATGAAAGTTATGATGTAGCTAAAAATTAGGGCAATGACAACATTATGCCAGCTATTAGCTGCTGACGGCGTATCATTTTAAGTTATGTAATGTTTCATTTTATTCTTATAAGCGCTTTTATGACAGTGGACCTAAAACAGTGCCCTCAAGAACACCCTTAGTAACTATACTTAAGTTATGTAATGTTTAATGTTATCTTATAAGCACACACTTTAAAACTAATCTTTTAGCTTTTAAGATGTTTGGGAAATAAATACAATACAAATAAACTTTTTTTAATTAAAAAATAAAATATAACAGTGGACCTAAATAGTACCCTGAGAAACTCCCTTAGTAAACTTCTTTGATATATTGTTTACTAGCTTTCCGCCCGCGGCTTCGCCCGCGTGGAATTTTGTCTGTCACAGAAAAACTTTATCGCGCGCGTCCCTGTTTCAAAAACCGGGATAAAAACTATCCTATGTTCTTTCCCGGGACTCAAACTATCTCTATGCCAAATTTCATCAAAATCGGTTGCGAGGTTTAAGCGGGAAAGCGTAACAGACAGACAGACAGACAGAGTTACTTTCGCATTTATAATATTAGTTGGGATACTCACATGATTGAGGGATCTGGTGAACAGGCATATAGCCGACAGCAAGGTCCCAAATGTCAGCTGCGGGAACGGCTCGTAGGATATCTTGGGAGCTCCGAAGTGAAGTTCCACGAGGGGCTGCCAACGCTCCATGTCTAGTCCAGGGTCAGCTAGTAGCGAGAGCAGGTCTGGACTGAAGGAGAGCAGACAGAGCGTTGCCATGTGGAGGATCTCCAATGTTCTGAAAAAATATTTTTTTATGTTGACAGATTATGGATGTGATTGCTTGCAGTCTTTTCTAAACTTGCTTATTGGATCAAAGTTTGTAGTGTAAAAAATATAGACGACTTGGTACGATTTTGTCAGTATTCAGTATCATCGACATCATTCCTACGAAAATCACGATTTTGATGTACAAATACACAACGCGTCGTGGAATGTTTTTTCGTTCAAAGAAAGTTTTTCAGTCTTTGAATGTAACAAATCCTATATCTTATCCCCGTTGCCGGAAACATTTTAAATTTTCAACAGAGAATGCAGATTGCTATAAAAATATAATCATACATTGTTTGAAGATTCATAAAGATCAATGACACTCAGTAAACTAGACAATCTAATGTAATGTTGTATGCAGCATGGCGTTCAGTGAACTGAAAAGTCTAAGGCTGAGTTGCACCACCTAACTTTAACCGTGACTATAACGATAACCGACGTATTTTGTATGGAGTTTGACGTTTGTTAAAGTCAAAGTAAGATGATGCAACCCAGCCTAAGATGGTATCAATAAAGCAGTCAAATAACCTGTGCAACATGGCGGGCGCGGGCGCGTGTTCGTCGTGCGGCGGCGCGTCGGCGGGCCGGCGCGCGCGTAGCATCAGCGTCACGCACTGGTACAGGCACGCGCTTATGCTGCGCTGTAGACGGCGGACAATCAACATCAATGGGTTTCAGCAGAGTAAATACAAATGAGTAAGTAGGTCATCAATGAGTGGGTTGGAGGCCTGGTGCTCTAAGATACATGCAGGTTACTGCCTAGTTTAGACACCAGTCTCCCACAGACAAATGTACCTACCAAACTAAATTTAAGACTATTTTTAAGAATCTGTTTGTGGAGAGAAATAAATATATTTATTATTATTATTATTTATTATTTATCTTCATAGAAACGCAACGAGCGCGGTTTGTATGTGAGCGCGCCAATATACGTATGCGGCACGCATGCACACACTGACAAAATTCGGCGCAATTCCCCACTAATCCACGCTAAATTTTGTCAGTGTGTGCGTGCGCGCCGCATACGTATTGGCGCGCTCACATACAAACCGCGCTCGGTGCGTTTCTATGAAGATGACCTACTCATTTGTATTTACTCTGGTTTCAGTCAACTTCAAAGTCATTTTGCTGGTAGGCATCGCAACAATTTGCAACACATGCGGGACTAATTATGGGCATAACAAGTGTTATATTGGGCTAGGTATTGTCTTCGGGAAGAATGCTGGAGTAGATTAGCTAAACTCAGACAAACACCGATTCAGCGTGCCGGAGCAGTTTTTTCTGAAAGTAGCTGAAATATTTCCCTCAGCCACATAGAGAGCACCAGAGGCGTGTATGGGACTCGTCCTATTTAGCGAAACCTATCTCCACTAAACACCAGGTTTTAAGGGTGTGCGCAAATGACAAAATAGAAAGTAGCATTTTTGAGCAATTAAATCTTCATCAATGTATTTTGATTTATTGACTATCTAACTAGCGTAATATCTGTTAGCTGGAGGACAATAATTAATTATATTTATTATATTGCAGTATAAAAAAACTGTCACGAACTTACCATAATACCGATTAACGAGTTGATATTCTGAATGCGCCACCTCGATTCGAACTTCACCAGCTGCACCACCAGATTCAAAGTTGACGCGCAAAGATTTAACGCATCTAAACTGAACACCTGACGCGGCAGCAGTATCGCTTCTATAAGGTGCTCCAAATGCACGCCGACGAAGGTTATGGCGTCACTAGCAAAGAATTGGCCGTGCTTCATAACCATCATCGATATAAAGTCCAAACTGTAAGCGTACACACGCCACCACTCTTGAGGCTTCCACGTGGATGATCCCCCATTGCTATCAATTTTCGGCGGCAACAGTTGCAGCCAAAGAAACTGGTCCACGTCACTCATGAGTAAATCTTTAGAGAATGGCCCTCTAGAATACGCAGTGATGCAACGTAACGCGGCCAGAGACGTGTGGTAGTGCCGGCGGCTTTGCAAGCACGTTTGAAGACAGCAAAGCAGTTTGTTGATAAACTTGCTGGACTGGAACCATTGCGATAGCCCCGAAAACATTTCGTCGTACAAATCTAAACACTGCTCTAGCATGGCCAGGCATAACACGACTGGAGGTATTTCTTCGGAGGTTTTGGAGCTGTCAGATTTGGGTTCAGCTTTTGGAACGTCGGTTATATCGTCTAGCAACTTTTGGAGCTCCAAACTGTTGATATTGGTCACAGACCGTATAATACTTTGAGCTGTTGCACTATTCGCTTTTATTTCATAATCCAAACTACTGATGGCGACAGTACAAATTGATAATATTGCTCGAATAGCGCGAGGATGTAAACATTCATAAACGGCTGCTGTATTAGTAAGAAGGTTGTCTATTTGCTTCGCATTTGCCTTTCTGTTCTCGAAACAGTCATCCTTCCAGTTGGCTAGCATTATGACGTACAACTCAGCTAGAATCACGACGAGCCTGCCGTCTTTTAGATCATCCAACTCATTTAACAGCGCGTTCATGCAAGGCGCAACCATTTTGGACTTGTGTGCTATGTTCAAGCTTATGGGTAGACATTTGCAGAAAATGGTTGTGAAATCTTTCCAAGATGTTAGCAGTCCTAACCAAACGGGCACTTTGTCTACGACCTCCTCTTCCTCATCTTTTCCATCAAAGGAATAGACAAAATCAACCCATGTGTCTAAATGCTTTTTGTCAGTATCAAAAAATTGCTCTAGCACTGCTTTGAGATTTGGTTCCAATTTTTCTCTCGACGCGAATAGTTCAATTCCCAGTACATTGAAGATCTGTGCGTACGTGCGTAAACCGGGTTGTATTTCATTGAACAATGGACTAGTCAAGTGTTCCCAAAAGTTCTTGTTCTCCCTAAGCTTCTTGACTAGAATTTGCATGTTGTTCTTCCATAATGCGTGAAATAGCGCCATTATGCATCCTAACAATGGACTGTGGAGGTATTTTGCGTCCTGTAAAAAGAACAATGTTTAGTTTTAAAACAAAGCTGATTAATATGTTTCTTGTTGCATTAGTTGATATAAAGCTGGGTCTCCAGTGCGTTTTGCCCTACATTACCAACAAAAACATGTCAACATCCAACATTTTTTGTAGACAATTTTGTTGAATGTTGATATGTTTTTGTTGATTGCAAAACACGCGCTGGAGACCCGGCTTAATACTTACAGTCTTAATAGTGCTGAGATAGTCAGCCATATACCCTAAGATGCCTTCAAAACTATCATCAGTCTCGGGAGCAGTTTTCTTCTCTACTTCAGCCTTCTTTTGGTCTTTGCCTTCTTTGTCATTTTCCTCCGCCTTAGCCTTTTCATGGTTCATCATGAAGAATGCTTCAGTAAGACCTGGTTGCTTCCCAATACAAGTAGCTACGAATTCGAGTATTGCCACTTTTAATTCCAAACTTTCGTGTTCATCGCGCAGTCTGTCAAGGAACATGACGCGGACTTGGTACGCCGTCATGTCTAATGATGCGAAGAGAGACATTTGGAATCCCTGAAAATAGTAAATGTATTTGTTTATAACCAGCATGGCGAGTGTTCTATGCCCGTTTTCACCATCAATCCCTAATTTTTAAGTGACTCCTATGAAAACAAAAATTCTGTTATGTGTTACCATAGGGGTCACTTAAAAAATAGGGATAAAACAGGCATGAGACTAGCAAAAGTTTTTAAAAAGATAAATTATACTTACGTCAGCAAATCTCTTCAATAATCGACAGCTGAGAACTGGCAGACTCCTGTTGAATGCATGGTTGATGTAACTCGTCACTTTTGGCACCACCTTCAATCGGTCTTTTTGTTTGTTCTGCGCAAATATGAGGTGTTCCAACGGCGTCATCTCACTGGGAGAGCCGATCTCTTCTTTCAGGCGTAGTGCGAACATGATGATGGCAACGCAGCGTTGTAAGCTGGTTATGTACTCGTTGCCAGGTCCCGAAATCCAGTTCGTTTCGTCAAGCATGATTTTTTCGAGGTTTTCGTTACCTAAAAAAAATAAAATTGTGGTTTAGAGTTTGTTGGTGTTTAAGTCCAAGAACTTATAGAATCTTGGTCAAAGAGTAGTTGTTTCATTGCAACACTATAACAGTAAGATCCTGCTTATAGCAATAGATAGTAGACTGTTACTGAACAGCAGGCAGGCGCTGATATGACTTGGATCCGCATTAACTAAGGCTGATAAGAATCCCCTTTAAAATGAGAGGCACTCACCCACAGCCAGGCAATGCAGCAATGAGGGTTTTATATTATTTTATTTATTTATTTATTTAATAGGACAACCAACAAGACATACACTGGAAGACAATCAATAATTACAACGTATTTAATTTAATCTAAGTGCTGCCTTAATTTATTTTTTTGACATGACATTGACAGATATGTCAAAATCCACCAATCACGCAGCATTTGGACCTCGCGTCTACGTATTGCCATCTGGCGGATTTTCCAATCGCGAAAACCCTCATTGCCGCGTATTATCTGCATCATGTAGACTATGCAAGCAGTAGTAACTAAATAGGTTTCAGTATCGTAGCGCGCTCGCCTCCAGTTTTCTTTTGCAGTACCAGGGCTAGCAGTCTCAGACACGTACCGGTGAGCAACAATGTAGTTAGACTGATAACTTTCAATGTAAAGACACTCACCCACAGCAAGACAGTGCAACAGTTGACGCGCATTATCTGCATCATGTAGATTGTAGACTATGTAGCCCAGTACGTCTCAAAATTGTAGCACGCTCGCCTCGTTATTTTTTGCAGTACCAAAGCTAGCAGTCTCAGACAGGCGCCGGCGAGCACCAGTGTAGTAAGACTGTTATCTTTCAAAATAAAGACACTTACCCACAGCAAGACAGTGCAACAGTTGACGCGCATTGTCAGCATCATGCAAACTATGTAGTCCAGTACATCTCAAAATTGTAGCACGCTCGCCTCGTTATTTTTTGCAGTACCAAAGCTAGCAGTCTCAGACAGGCGNTTGTTCTGAGCAAATATGAGGTGTTCCAACGGAGTCATCTCACTGGGAGAGCCGATCTCTTCTTTCAGGCGTAGTGCGAACATGATGATGGCAACGCAGCGTTGTAAGCTGGTTATGTACTCGTTGCCAGGTCCCGAAATCCAGTTCGTTTCGTCGAGCATGATTTTTTCGAGGTTTTCGTTACCTAAAATATAAAAGTTGGGATTTAAGATTAAGTCCAAGAATTATAATGACATGAATCTTGATCAAAGATAGTAGTTTTATTATAGCACTATAGTGCTTAGGTTCTCCACAACCGATATGAACAACGCCTCAACATGACCGCGACCGCTCTGCTAAGAGCAAAACGAATAAGAAGAATTTCTGCTTATGGTGACCCTAGCTAAATAGGTGATTTTGGCAGCATCAACAGCCGCCGGTAGGCGCCGCCGCTAAGTGACTGGCACTGCGCAAACGAAGGGGACCTTCAGCTTGAAAGACTTGTGGATCGGTACTGGCCACTGCTAATAAGCTCCTGTTTAAATAATAAGTTGGCTTTTGTTGTATAATTGTATTGCTACACATATGCAAAAACATGTAAATGGTGTATAGTTTCTTAAGCAGTGGTTAATCTATTATTGTTTCACTGTATGTTTTCCAAACAAAATAAAAATAAAAAATAAATAAAATAAATTAAAATTGAAGGCACTTACCCACAGCAAGACAGTGCAACAGTTGACGCGCATTGTCAGCATCATGCAAACTATGTAGTCCAGTACATCTCAAAATTGTAGCACGCTCGCCTCGTTATTTTTTGCAGTACCAAAGCTAGCAGTCTCAGACAGGGGCCGGCGAGCACCAGTGTAGTAAGACTGTTATCTTTCAATATAAAGACACTCACCCACAGCAAGACAGTGGAGCAATTGACGTGCATTATCTGCGTCATGTAGACTATGCAAGCCAGTACGTCTGAGTATTGTAGCACGCTCTCCTCCAGTCTTCTTTTGTAGCACCAGAGCTAATAGTCTCAAACAGGCTCCAGTGAGCTCGCGGCGTTGCGCTAACGAAGCGTATCGCCACCCCAACATGTTGGGGAAAACTTCCCGGACTATGAGGACCAGGCCGGGAAGGATAATCTCCATTGTTATGCGCTCATCTGTTGACGACTGGAAGGAAAAACAAATATTTCTGCATTAAATTCAAATTGTGTTTATGAAATCACAGGTACATAAGTCAGGCCATAAAGTATTGTAATAGATCAGCTGTGTTCTTAAAGATATCAATTTGAAATTGAAATACACAACGATATCTAAACCAAACTGAGCAAAGTTCGTTCTATGGGTACCTGACCTGATGTGTCAGACATAGGAAACACCCAGAGGGCATTTTTGGTACTATACCTGATACGTGAACCACCAGGCTAGGCGTCCGTCATTTATTCTACAGTGTTCACTGCAGAAGAGCAACTCTGTCTAATTTTAAATTGGGGATTGGCTTGCCATACACTCCCCACACTGGCCAGAAGGGCTGGGGAAGACTGATATCTGCAAATTGGTTCCTTCGCATCTTAAAACGTAAATTAAAGGCTAAGTATATACACTCACGACGTGGAAATCATTGAGGGAAGCTTATGTTCAGCAGTGGACGTCCTGTGGCTGAAATGATGATGATATAAACTCACTAACCTCATGAAAAGCACACAGCAAGTCGATGTACGCGCCCAACAAGTGGTAAGAGCCGCCCGGCTGCTCTACCGCCACGAGGAATGACCCCACTGCGCCCGAGTCAAAAGACGCGCCTCGTGCATATTCGGCCGCTGATAGTTGATGGCTGCGCGCGCGCGGCAACAGGCCTGTGTTCACCAGCCTGTAGCAGAGGAAAAACGATTCTACAACGTGCTCTTTTTGATTTCCTGGAACTCTAGGGTATTAATAAGACTACTTCAAAGAATGGAATGGAATTACATTTTTTATTAAATTCAACAATTTTTTTCGACTTATTTTTTCATACGAAATTATTTAAAAACTTAATTTTTCACTGAAATAATTCATTTATAACCTGACCAGGAACATAAAAACCCTGGCATAGAGGCGCGTCAATTGCATTTGATAGTGCAACACTGAGTACAGTCGTACCTGTGTTAAATTAATAGGCTAACTTTATGTATCAGGATTCAGGATTACGGGCTAATTTGATATTTTCATAAATTAACGAAAAAATATTATTATAGGTAACCTGATGTAAATAAATTAAATGAAACCATCAATCGAGCTAGTAGAATTTATTTTATTATTCATCAATAATCAAATTCAGAACTTGAATATTCAACTGCAATGTCTGCTCATGAACGCTTCAAACTCGGTACTTCTTTCCTAATCGCATAAAATTCAACACTTAGAAAGTGACAAATTTTTTTAAAATAGGTAGTTGAAACAAACCACAGCTAATTTTCATAGTGGACTGTACTATACGATAAACATGTCAGTCAATTTGACAACCTTTGTCGGAAACATTATTCAATGAAAATATTGTCCGAACCCTTAGTATTTCTCTTCGACAAATACTTTAACACATTGTGAACCACTTTTCTTTCACGACTATAAAAATATTTTAGCAATTTAATTCATAAAACCAATTGCGCACATTTAAAATAAAGTTTGTTTACACTTTGACAGCAATAGACTGACATGCAAGGTGACATGTCAATGAAGTTTTCAGTTACTGTTGCCATTAAAAGAAATTAGTACCATTAGTTTTCCGCAACATGGCGAGGGTTTTTATGTTCCTGGTCAGGCTATACATACACTTATCAATAAAAAGTCTGCACAAAAAGACTAGGTGACAATTTTGAAAAAAAAAAAAAAACTAGATTGATGATATCTTCTAAATCTAGAATCCACAATATCTTAAAAAATATGCTTTTAGAAACACATATTCCTAAGACTTTATTTATAGAATATAGGTAGGAGCGGTAGGAGTCTCGTGTTCACCGCCTGGGGTAGAGGAAAAGCAAACCTATTACAATTACATAAGAGGCTACATCTGCAAATATTGTGGAATGAGAGAACGGTCAATGACGTGCCATACACGTACTCCGCCGCCGACAGTAGAAAACAATAGACGGCAATAGACGGTCTATATCAGTATTCACCAGTCTGGGGCAGGGAAAATCGAACCTACTGCAAGTGCATAAAGTGCTATATCTTGTAGCAGACCCACCTCAAGTGTATCTCCTTGGGGAAGACCGGCACGAGAACGGCGCAGACTTCAAGGCACTGCACCAGTAGCGGCAGCGCGGTCGCATCCGCGCGCATGAACCGCACTAATACGTCGAATGCACCCTCGCTCTTATTACAAGCACTTAAGGTGTTATATCGTCTAGCAGACTCACCTCAAGTGTATCTCCTTGGGGAAGACCGGCACGAGGACAGCGCAGACTTCAAGACACTGCACCAGTAGTGGCAGTGCGGCCGCGTCGGCGCGCATGAACCACACTAATACGTGGAATGTGCCCTCGCTCTTATTACAAGCACTTAAGGTGCTATATCGTCTAGCAGACCCACCTCAAGTGTATCTCCTTGGGGAAGACCGGCACGAGCACAGCGCAGACTTCAAGACACTGCACTAGTAGTGGCAGCGCAGTCGCGTCGGCGCGCATGAATCGCACTAATACGTCTAATGCACCCTCGCTCTTATTACAAGCACTTAAGGTATTATATCGTCTAGCAGACCCACCTCAAGTGTATCTCCTTGGGGAAGACCGGCACGAGGACAGCGCAGACTTCAAGACACTGCACCAGTAGTGGCAGCGCAGTCGCATCCGCGCGCATGAACCGCACTAATACGTCGAATGCACCCTCGCTCTTATTACCAGCACTTAAGGTGTCATATCGTCTAGCAGACTCACCTCAAGTGTATCTCCTTGGGGAAGACCGGCACGAGCACGGCGCAGACTTCAAGACACTGCACCAGTAGTGGCAGCGCAGTCGCATCCGCGCGCATGAACCGCACTAATACGTCGAATACGCCTTCGCTCGGCGCCACTAGGCTTTTCGGGATCTCTTTGTCTGGTACTAAAGCTTTCAGGATGCCTGCAAAGTTCCGTAATTTACGGTTAAAATGTATTGCTCACAAATCTTATAGTAATTTCCGAAGCAGTAGAAGCCAAAGTTTGACAATATTTCAAGTCATTTTAGGCCACACATGACGCGACCAGTTTGAAAGTTTCAAACTGGTCGCGTCATGTGTGGTCTTTCAACTGACGCTATGGCAGAAACTTAGATGCAACTCAAAAGTATCTAGCAGTTGCAGTTTCGTTGCAGTTGCGTTTCACAGTCTGTTCTGGGCCTTACACTTACGGCGATTTCACTTTGTAGCAAAATTGCATAATTAATATGCGGTGACATTGGAGTGAAATTAAATTGCAGCCATAGCGATAGATTGCTATGTTGATACTCAATGAATCCACATACCTTTTAAAACTTTAGCGCCCTCATAGACTCGCTGCAACGCCGACAAAACGTTATGATGTTGTTTACGATCCAGTGCTTTCTCAATTTCACTGTTGAAAACTGTCCAATAAGAGTAAGGAGTTCGGAAGTGTATCATTGTGCCCTCTTTCCTCTCCATGACGGTAGCCTTTGATCCTGCTTCGATGCGGTACGAGGGTCCTCCCAGAGGGAAGTACTCTCGACCTATTGTAGCGTCATCAGAATCGAATGATACGAGTGGCACGCTATTAGGGTTGTATATTTCTGTGTACACTGGCAAATTTTTCAGTTCGCCTATTAGCTGTAAATAAAGTTAAATTTTTATTCAATTTGTCTAGGAAAATAACAAAAGTAATGGTTCTATAGAATAATGAAATTACTTACATTTAGAACACTACATTTCCCAGCCTGAGCCAAGCCAGCAGCCAATACAGATAACATGGAGAAATTGTAAGGAAAATACTCCAACGCTGTGTTCCATAGCGACACAATACCAAACTGGTCATCTTTCTGCTGAAGCTTCCAGAAGTCTTCAGCTATCTCTGGAGACCGCAGGAGGTCGGCACAGAGTTGGGTGATGCCTGCCTGATGGCTGATCGTTCCGTCGCCGTCGAATTTGTCGCATAATGTTTTGAGAAGATTGTAAACTGTTTGTCTGGCTATTTGAGAGCATTTGGATTTGTCCTGGAAAATGTTATACATTCAATTGATAAAATGTATATCAAATAAAACTAAACAATGACGCCGCTACCAATCGATCAACGTGGAAAGCATTAGGGGAGGCCTATGTTCAGCAGTGGACGTCCTATGGCTGAAATGATGATGATGATGATGAATGACTCCTGACACTTAATTTGAAGGTTTTGTCTCTAATGTACAACACACATCAAACTAACTACACTCAAACATTTATTGCTTTATTTTCAGAATTTTACATAAGGTATTGTATGGCTTTTTTACTTACTGTAAATACACTGCTATTCAACATCTGACTCAGGAACTCAAACACGTGCATCTTGAGTGCGGTGGCGCCATAGTGCTGATACTTGCTCTCAAACATTACAGCATGGTCTTTGCCCTGAAATATTAAATACAAGGAAATTAGAGAAGTTAATCTAAAATAATAATAACCCATAGGGTATGGTTTTCTCATTCAAAAAGTTGGTGTATTCCCAGAGCACCAGAATCACCTTTTAGGTTGGACAGTTTTGGCAAAAGTTTTTATGTTAATGATGACATTATAGTCATTCCACTGTCACAGAGACATGCACAAAATAAATAAGCTTCAAATACACTATTTAATTTTATTCATTACCTGCAATGATAGAAGCATCCATGATAATAACATGGCACTGTGCTCTGCATTCAGTTGTAATTTCGTAAGTTCAGGCTCCACAACATTTTCATTGGCTTGTATCCATGATGATGCATTAGCACTAAAATTATAATAATTTCATACATCTAATAACATAGCACAGAGATTAGACAAGATCAAACTCAGGAGGATCTTACAACGAGGAAAAGCAAAAAGCTCCATAACCTTAATGTAACAATTTTTTTTAAGTGACAAGAAAGAAAGAATAATTGTATGCTGTAGTGTAAAATGCTATTTAAAAGATAAAGAGTGCTTACTGATTTTTGTAATTGATGACTATAAATAAACAGACTTCCATGTATGTTATCCTCATGCACATCTCTCTATGCCTTTCCTCCAACATCTCTTGGTATCCTTGGTTTTTGCCATAGTTGTGTTTCCTAAATATTTTGAATAACGCCTGGAAGTCCGTATCGGTAATTTTCTGCTCTTCAACAAGGAGCAATATGACTTGCAAGATGAATAATTGTTCTCTCAAGTTATATTCTGCCCATTCCTGTCTAATACTGTCGTTTGAAAAGTCACTTTGAATCTTTCTCGGTGGTGGTACAGTAGAAATTGCCTTCTCAAATTGAGTAATGAGTGACGGGAGAAGATTTTTACATCCATTATTGTAAATTCTAGAGAACTCTTCATGATACTTGTGACTCTTATTATTATGGTTTTCAATGATGTACTGTAGCAGTTTAAGCATAAACAGTCTTTCTGAGTAGTAAAATCGCCAAATGTTGGGTAGCAAAAATGATGTTCTAGTGTCCACAAAGGCTACATTCTTCAGGGCGTTGTCAGGTGTTCCGTAGGAGATGTCACATAGGTAGTGCTTTATGATATCCCAGACTTGGAAGGTGTCCACATTCTAAAATACAAAATTGTAATCTTATAGATATTGATTAATTTTTAATGTTGAATAAATATGTATAAAGACAGACTTACTATGTAACTTTGCAAGGTTTGAACCACACTAAGCAGTTTGGTCTGATCCGGGTATTTGGACTGCAGCTGGGAGAAGGCCTCAGGTTTATTAGGTTTGTAACTGTTGAGGCCTTGGTACAAAGCCTCAGTGACTTCCTTACTGCCCAAAACTGCCCGCAACTCTTCCAAGGACAGGTTGTTAGATGTTGTCCATCTCCACAAACGTTTCCAGTAACTAGAAGGTATTAAATGGACGGAAATTCGTTACAAACACTCATATAAACAAAGGAATTCAGTTATGATTTTTCCTCTACTTACTTCGCACTATTCGCCGCCATAGTAATGGTATCGGATGTTTTAATACGTCATGAATATAGTCATTGAATTTATTATGTGTTTATTTACCGCTTAAATACCTGATAATTTTAGGTTAGGTATTTCACAAGCGGTTGTACTTTTTGACATCACCTGTCTTTTCTGTCAGAGATACATAGAGAATTAGAGATTTTTGTCTNTTGTTTTCACCCGGTTTAAACCCAATCGGGTGAAATGGGTTTTTACCCACTACCCATCTCTAGTCACATATGAGCAAGGCGATCGTCTCTGACTGACGGTCAGCGAGAGTTGGAACTTGATTTTTTTTCAATCAATCAAAGTATCGGGCGGGTAGGTTCACATGGTGTAATGTGTTGTGTAAAAATGTTTGTGTGTTTGTATTCAAATATTAATCAGTGTGGTACAAACTATGGGTATGTATGGTAAACTATGGTTGTTCACCTCAACTTTAACTACGCGACGCGACGAGGCCGCGAGGGTATCATCCACAGATATGGATTAGAGNGCCGCGAGGGTATCATCATAGTGTTTTTTTTTGTATGGACTATCCCACGTGAAGATTTATATTATCTTTGTATTTAATTTAAATGACAGCTGACTGACAATGACATGACAGCTGACAGTTGGTTTATTGACCAACGTCACCATCACATGGGGCATGCGTTGGCTTGGCTGAGCGCTTGGCAAATCGTTTTTTCTGCTTGATAAACTGATACACACGTATACACGATATTACCATTTCATAATATTCATCAGTAAATAGTGCAAGCGGCGCTTTGGCCACAAGCGGTCGCCTAAGACGATTTAGGTTAGATTAGGTTTACAATTTTGTAGTAAGGTTACTTAATTTTAACGCAAAACTTCGAAGTCATGGCACCGGCGGCAACCGCAGTGAAGCCCAAGCCTGATGACGACCCATTGGGCATCCGGGCAGTGTTGTTGGGTCCCCCCGGGTCCGGCAAAGGCACACAGGTAGTTATGTGAGAGTGTATGCATCTTTGACCTTTACCCTCCTCTAATCGTATTCTTGGTGATAATTTAGAATGTTTTCTTACATAAAGTTTTTGTGTGTAGGCTCCACGTTTGAAAGAGAAATACTGCGTATGTCACTTGTCGACGGGGGATATGCTCCGGGCCGAAGTGGCCTCGGGCTCCGAGCTCGGGCGCCGCCTGAAGAAGGTCATGGATGAGGGAAAGCTGGTCTCCGATGAGATGGTCGTGGACATGATCGATAAGAACCTTGACCAGCCGGCCTGCAAGAATGGGTTCTTGTTGGATGGCTTCCCAAGAACTGTGCCTCAGGCTGAAAAGGTGGGTTAGGGTGACTTAGTTAAGTTTTAAAAACAAGTTTTTGCTTTGTTTGGTTGGCTAAGCTATTTACATTTTTAGATGATTTATTGAACCAGTTATGTTTATTTTAATGATAAATCTATTTTTGTTATCATTTGCAGTACATCATTTTTGATGTTCATAAGTCCCAATTTTTTTATTGAAATTGGTTATTGTCTCAAGGATTTTAAATTTTACACTCCTATCCTACCAAAACAACCAATAACATTATCTTTATTCTAGAGAAGTTTCATAACTTTTTTGTTATTGAAATTACAGTTGGATGATTTGCTGGCAAAAAGGAAAACTGAGTTGGATGCAGTGATTGAATTTGGCATCCAGGACAGCCTGCTTGTGCGCAGAATAACTGGGAGACTGATTCACCCATCAAGTGGGCGCAGCTACCACGAAGAGTTCCATCCACCTAAGAAGACTATGACCGACGATGTCACTGGAGAGCCCCTTGTCAAGAGATCAGATGACAATGTAGACGCACTCAAGAAACGTTTGGCCACCTACCACGCACAGACTGTGCCTCTGGTCGACTACTACATGAGGAAAGGCCTCCACTACAGGGTTGATGCAGCAAAACCCGCTGAAGAGGTTTTCAGCAGGATTGATAATATATTCAAAAGCAGGATTTTTAGCAGAACTCGAGATGCTCAGTAAACTAATATCACAGCTCATTTTAATTAAGGAAAAGTGCTCTGTACAAATGTAATTTACATGTGATTTCATTACGTCTGTTGTTTATTTTTGGTATTGTGTACTGAAAAATTAGTTGACTATTTTAGAGACTATTTTTCTTGGACAAATATAGTGAACTGGAATCTTGGAACAGGTTGTTTGATTGCGTAATAGTATACTTTATCAAATATGAAAATAAATAATGCTATCTATCTGCTAATGTGATAGGGGACTTA